AGACGTACGAGAGTCTGTATCCGACCCCCTGTGTGACGCTCAGCGACGGTATACGATTTTACCCGTTTCAGGTTCTCACCTACGATCCACATTCATGGCCGCTTGACCATGAAACGGACTTGCGAATTAGGCAAAAGTGAGGATCGATTCTTCAGGGAGGAATCGTATGTTGTGAACGGCAGGTTCTACACCAAAGTCTGCAATGGAGTACTCTCTCACCTCATCAAACTGGGAGTATTCCAGAAGATCAAGGAGTTGGATGCAGCACTGGCAGAGAAGACTTTCTCAAGCAACCCATCGGGTAGGACTGATTGAATTGCTGGCCGTCACCTATTTCCTTGACTTCCGTGACCCGCGATTCAAATCACACTCGATCGCCTCTGTTGCTGCTGAGGGGTGTCCAGCGGATATGATATTTTAGCGGCCACTGTGGTGCCATCCGGCGATGAAGAAACTTGGCAGCGAGAAGCGAAGCTAGCGGTCTTAAGAGAGAAGATTAGACAAATGGATGAAGCGGCAGCACAGCGGCGTGAGCGCGAGCAAGTACATGAGTAAAGTTTGATCAGTTGGAAGATCGAATGGTATCTGATTCCAGATAATAGATGAGGAGCTCCGTTCTGCTGAGGCCCAGATGGCAGCTTTGAAGGGAAAGGCAGACTCTATTGCAGCAAGGACTCGCGCTAATTGAACGAGGAGGCAGTTCATGGCTTCAATGCAAGCACACATTAATGCGAGATTGTTGCGTTCGTGCGAACGAGCTCCCAAGGGGAAGTGAATCTCTGCAAATGTTCTGCAAGCTAAACCACGAGCGAATGACAAAATCACCTCGGAATCGCACTTATCAGACATCCTAGTCTCTTGGTTTTGAGCTAAGGTATTATGATCTCGTGCATAAATAGTATACCAGTCCTTAACTTTCTTGAGGACTCGAACGTCATTTATCCATCCGATAAATGGTGGATAATTGGGACAAAGACCAATTTGATAATATCGAATTAGTGCCGGGCTATAGGCTACTCACCAACCGCTATCTGCGAATTTCCTGTTCGCCGGTAGACTCCCTCGCTAGTGGCACGCGATGTTGCTTCGTATTCCACGAGTTTAGCCATTCACGACGCAGTGAGCCGGTCCCAGTGCGATGGGATCCCATGGATACAAGCGCGATTGTGAAGCAGGCACCACCGTTCATAGCTCGGATGAAACTCTGATGTGAGCAGGCTACTTAGTAACTAGCAGTTACCGTATCTGTTGGACTCGATAATGGCAACATAGAGCTCCTCATTCGTACAGCGATATTCCGGCAACACATAGCAGGAACTGACGGTTAACATTCCCGTCTCGCTGTCGAGTGTTCGCGACCAGAAATGCCACGAGTCTGTTTTACTGACTATGAACGATGCCTCGCGAAAGAGCGTTAGGCCCTGTCGGAGATTATGTAGGGGCTCGTAGCCACTAATTCGAACTGGTGGTGAGTTCGTGATCTTCTGCTTGGGAATATGTCGTGAGCATATTCCCGTATCAACTGTGGGATTTATTTACCAACATCGACAACACTGGCGCTCAACTCAGAGACATAACTTAGTGAATGTTTGATGGATGCGCGCTGTAGATCGGTCGATTTTACTGGTCCCACAATCACAGATCGCTGCGAGTTCGCAGTTGCTTCACTGGAAGGGATTCATTCAATGAACCCATCTACTCGACGACCTCCGAAGCATATACGACAGAGGCGGCTACTAACGAACAAATTATTGCGTGGCTATGCAAAGGCAAACCGCCGTCATTCAACTTGACTCGGTTCCGATGCTTCTGCTGTTGGGATCTTCGGGAACATCTCTTTGTCACTTACAAAGTGGAAGTCGTCATCCTGCCATGTACGAGGCCGTGAGACGAGAGTAATTACGGAGATGACAGCCTGACAGGGAACATGTGAGGCAAAGAGCTTTTACCGAACGTACCAGTATCATAGACCCAATAGCAACCGATAGAATGATGATGACCCGCAGAGAGCTGTGCCCAGATGAGGAAATGGCCGACTCTCTAGTATCTGTCAACCAGAAACCCAAAGGACATAGAGCGACACACGGGCGCCGGCCAGATCGGTCGTACAGCAAAGCGAGTTTATCATTCCCTGATTCTGATTGGGTTCCTTCGGTTGGTCTGTAACGCACTGGAGGAAATAATCTCGCGAACGGTTATACCTGCCAATTGATGAGAGAACTGACAACAGTGGGTCCTCACTTAAGTCCATCCGCTGTTATTTTCTCTCCTGTAGACGCATCTGAAGTGCACATCACCGGCGTGAAACGAACAGGATCTCCTAGGCACCTAAGAGGGAACGCGCGGACATGCTGCACGTCAAGGACGAACACTTCTTACCCTTCCACTAAACAGTAACCTCCTGAGCAATCCAGTGCGCGCCACGTAGAATAGAACCTGCAAAGGGAAGGGCGATTGAAGCTGGAACTAACAGATGAGTCCTACGATGTTCTATAGTCATGGAGGAGTTCGTACTCAGATGAGTCTGTCTGATTATCATAAGCGTTTGCTCCATTGCGGTCGATGGCTTGAGCGGCAATGTACTCCGTAGACTGGCTCGCTAGCAGGATTGAATACAGAATTACCAGTATCACAGCCACCAAGATGTACCTCAAAGGGGGCGTAACATCAAAGAGCTGAAGAACCCTATCTCTCACCGTATTTGCTTCGATAGGTCTTTGCTCCGGAGAGCCCGGAAGCCGTACATCGACGTGGCGAGCATGAGTAGGTTGAAAAGTAGCGTAAGGAATATGGAGAGCACCGAACCAATGTAGCTATCGTCCAAAAGGCTCCAAATGCCTGTCGAGTACATTCAAGGGAGTTCACCTATGCGGACTTACTCGTCACGACGCCCACCAGGCCCCAGATCAAGAGGAATGTATTGAAAGCGATACAGAATCCCATAGCCGTATAATCGAAGGCTCTTCGGAAGCGCACACCAGCGCTCGATATGAAGCCTGGCTCCGTCTCCACCATTTGTCAAAGTGGGCAGAATTTCTCGCACCGGAGGGAGACGCCGTGAGGCCAGCAAAGAAGTTCAACGTTCTCCTCGAACTGTGTAGGGAAGTTGCTATAGAAGCCAAATGGCTCGACGTACTCAACACCACAATGGGCTATCCGAGAGAGGTGGGGTAAAACATTTCCTACGACAATGAATCACGATGGCTCCCGTTAGCTGCCTCGTAGTGAAAATGTGGTTTCTGCTGTTGCTCCTTGACTCGTCGCTCGTCTTCCCACCATGGAATGGTTCAGTGGATGAGAGTCACTAGCGTTGTCGATCCATTGCTAAGGGAGTGCATGTCACGTGTGTGAGACATGCTATAATTCCACGATGAAATCAGAAGGACTGCTGCGGCCTTCGGCAAGCACTGGACAAACGAGGGTGGCTATAGACAGCTGGGAGGAAATTGGTTTCCGGTATGATACTGGATATCGTCACAGTGCACCGATTTAGTTCACGAAATCTCACTAAATTTCACATCAGTAAAAAGCAAAACCAGTTTATTGTTTGAGAAGTAAGAGAAGTTAGAATGATAGGGAGCAACGGCGAAAATTATGCTGTTTTTCCTCTCAATTATGCCACAAAATATAGGAGAACAGCTCATGCTCTATCGTGTTGCTTCCCCAGAGATTTTGATGGTTCTAGACTCGAATATTGTACCACAGAGCGAAGAGATTACTGATCGCATCGGATCATTTAATTCTAGTGTCATTCTCTCAGCCTACGCCCCCCCCTGATGCGTGAGATCACTAATTCTTCCGATCTCCACTTCCGACTTTCTCGTCTAACACTAGTGCTAAACCGCGGTCACCCCTAATCGGCCTCCCGTGGTCGATATAATTCGCAGCATAGAGACTGATCAGGTTCAGGCACGTTGCATGCCTCGTCTGTGATCTCTCAGTAACAGCTTTTGGACGATCTCCCTCCATGACCGCAGCCAATTCACTTTCTCCATTTTGATGGGAAAAACCAACCGGGATCGGACTTAGCGGACAGATCGGGGAAGGCGACCCGTCATATACCGAGCACTCAACAAGATGGAGACTGGGAAAGCTATGGTAGCAAGAAACAATAATTTTACGGCGCAGCGGTCATCTCCACATCATCCGAAGGCGATCGGGTGTCATCCATGAGATCCTCGTCCGACTCGCTATCCTCTCCTCCGACTTCACCGACCCGCTCTGTGAGTGGCACCCAGCTCTGGTGGGAATCTTTAGCATTTGGACAATATCTAAGGAGCAGCAGTTATTGAACCAGAAACCGCGTAGAGAGCAACAGCTGGCTCCAGGTGAAACTCGGTCCCCAATGGTACTACTGTTTCCGGAGAGTCTCGAATACTAAAATCCGATAGAGCTGCTCCACGAAGGCGTCAGCCTCTTCGTCAATCACGACTCGAAGCTAACAGTAAGATATGCAGGGAGCAGGGATCGAACCCGATATCTTCCCTAGCCTTATCTTGTGAATACATTCTTGCGTATCCACTATAATGACAAACCTCGCATAGGTATCGCACAAGCATACCAAGAACCCCGAGTTATTACCTCCCTTGCTAGATCAGGCGCATCGGTTCGCCGATTGACCATCCTCATTATCCAGTCGGTGAGCTCCCGGTCGGGACTGCCCAACCACAATGACACCTACAGACAACTAATCCAAATTAGTTATTGTATGCCTAGAGCAGTCCGGAGATAATCTTTCAACCTCGTGTGGAGCAGTCACGATACCAAGATACCTTCTCGGAAAGATATGCTACCTGGCGACGGACCCACGTCCACAGAGTCTGCTGGACAGTAGTAGATTGACTCAATACGTAATCCCAGTCAATCGGATGACGATAAATATCCGAACGTTCACTCGGCACCTAACGCACGAAGGGGATTTCCTGCCACGGATATCCAAGATAACCTACCAAGGACATGAGCTCGTGGATACTCATTGTACTCCGACTCTTGTGTTCCCTCTTCCGCCGCTTCCTCTCATGCTTCTCGCGCTTCTCTGTCTCTATATCAACCTTATCGGCTGCTGCTCGTGCTTCAAGATATTGAGCTTGCACCTAGCAGAGATACAAAACAGCTTCACATGACACCTCCAGGCTCCCATGGTACATCAGCCAACTGCTGCTCGTTCCTCGACAGCTTCTCCTGTTGCTCAGCCTTCCCCAACAATACCGTCTCAATGCGCTTCTCTTCCTTCTTCACAAGTGACCCCTTCCAGTTCTCAGTGCCTCTGGCATTAGCCTGCGATTCCTCAGACTGTATTCTAGCTTCCCCAGCCCGAGCTATGTCCGACAGGATACCCTTCGCCCGATTAACCTGAGCCCGTCGACATGAAGCAATCAATAGCAACCAGGGAGAGATAATAACAATATAATAGAAGTGATAAGTGATGCTGTTATTCCGAGAAGTGCGCTGTTGTGTTGATGTGAACTTCGTGAAGGACAGTAGAATGACAGAGAGAAGGTGTTTTACGATGAATGGGATATGCTATATGCTACCCTGCGGGCATAGATTCCCAAGCGTACTGCCGTTCCTTTTCCAAATCAATCTTAATTGTAAGTATATCCCCCATGCCCTGGTACTACCAACTGGTGTATCTCATCATCCACCAAGTCCATGAGATTGCTAGGCACCTCATAGCCCTCCTTAGCGATCCTATTGGCGACCTCTCTGCCTCTGACACCCCGCCAGTGATACATCATATCCTGAGTCCTTTTATCAACTCTAGCATATATCTCCCGACCAAAAAGCCTTATCCCAGTCAGAGCTCGCTGTGCCTTGAACGCAGCGCCGCACGAACGGTACTCAGCAATGACGAACGTCTCTCCGGGAACCCTCCAAAGCTGTATAAACTGGTCATTGATTTTCTCTATGGCCTCCTGGCGTTCCGCAGTAGTAGATGTACTCTGTTTTTCATCATCCGCCGGCGCCGCGGCCACTGTGAACATCTCGTCGAGCAACTCTTTGTCCGCCCTCGGGTCGATGTGGAAGGCGAAAATGAGGCCCCGCCGAACACCACTCGTCCCTGGTTTGTATGCAGGCCGCCTAGAGCCTCCTGCAGGCCGCGTATTCACCATCCCTTCCGATGGAACTATGTTTGGTCGGACCGGTGGTATGGGCATGGCTGGTGGTACGGGTGGTCCACCACCGAGCATGGGTGGCGGCATTCCCATCATATGAGGTCGTTGGGCTCCCATCATCGGAGGACCTTGGGACGGTAGAGGTGGAGGCATCATCATCCTTGAAGGCGGTGGTCCAAGGTCGGGACTCATCCCAGGTGGACCATGGCCCGGTGGAGGGTTCCAGTTGGGACCACGGAGAGGTGGATGATCGAAGCCCTTACCCTTACCACTACCTTTGCCACCAGCCCACATAGGACCCCACTCGGGAAATGCCTTGCCCCAGCCACCCGGCATCGGAGGCATTGGTGGCATCGGCGGCGGGGGACCGAACCCCTTGCCGTCAGAAAACCCAGCGCCCTTACCGCCATAGCCTTTTCCCCCAGGAGGACCCGAGAACATTATACGGAAGGGGAAAAGACTACAATAAGCACCCCGAGTCCCTTCAAACATCGTCCTCTGAAATCACTCCAATTCTAAATCACATTGGAGGATGAAACTCGTCAAGCAATATGCGGCTTCGACCGCAACAATGTGGTCCACCTTATCTGTATCCAATATTGGCGAACAGAACCTTTGAACCTATGTTATGCTCGGCGGACCGACTCAGTTGACTTGGACGGTTCCTCAACGCGGTAAGTACTCATGTGAAAACGGAGAGCTTACCTGATCAGAAAACGGGCAAGAAAAGAGGTCGGCAACTGCAGACCGATGGGGCACCTCGGGACGGTTCGCGAGGTTATCGTCTGACGATGACCTATGGTGTGGTGATCGGTTCACGGTGTAGTAAGGTCACCTTTTGAAGGTCTATTTGGCTCTCAGTAAAGTCAATTCCATCGGGCGGGGCACCTATGCCACAGCCCCAAGATATGCATAGTACAATTAATTCTGCGATAGGAAGAGTAATTCCGCCGGATTGTGGGAATCAATCTCGCTGTTCGTGGAGCCTATTCTGCATGGGGCAGATATGCCACTTCGAGAGCAGCGCATCGAGGTAATTCAAGATGCTCACTCTGATTCACAATGTTTCTCGCCTCTAGAAGGCGGCAACAGTCACGCCGCGTAAGAGTTCAAGGGTGGCATATCTGCCCCAGACGGATTCGGTCATAAGGTGTTAAGTGCCTACAGTAAAGCAATTTCCCACCGAAAAATCAGACCCGTGCTGACGCAAAGTTAAGCGAGTTGGACGATTATTTCGGAGAAAAATACACGCGACGCTTTAGCTCACTTTCTGTTGAACGATTATGCGCTCTTTTGGCTGCTCAAGATTGTCTCGTGCGTCTGACTTCCGCCCCTAACCCTCAGTCGGTAGTTGTCATACTCCCACTCGTCTTTGATAGTATGAATTGTCTATGGGGCTAATCTATGAAACTGGTACATTGGCGCCATCGAGAAGATTGCGAACGATTTCCTCAATCCTTGAACTTCTTCCACCTCTAAGTCTCTTTCCATTGTATTACCGAGACGCCTCGGACAGGCATTTGATGGCTCATTTCCCGGTCTTTGTTGCAGTGTCAGTCCTCCCATTGAGCTTAGTGGTCACTTTGGCAGTTATTGCCGTAAAATGAGCTCACTCGACTCTCTTCGAATCCCCGAGGCCAAGAAGGACTACATCATCCAGAAGCTGAACCCCCTTCTGGAAGACATGGTTACTGAGTGTCTCACTCAGATGCCTAACGACCCCGTCGAGTTCATGATCAAGTACGTCTCTGTTGAATCCGTTCTCCTCTACACGGTCGCCATTTAGGTATTTACGTGAGAAGAAATCAGGTGGCTCCGAAGATACGTCCCCCGGGGATTCCCTCCAAGCTGAGAACAGTCAGCTGAAGAACGAAATAAACCGTCTACGTGATATGCTCAAGCACAGTGTTGGCGGTGCTGCTGGGACTACCGATGGCGTACCGACTGCATGGGTCCTAAGTCGCAGTCTACTCTCATTCAGGACAACGACTCTGTGTTGGATTCTGAGGATGACGAAGATGATTACGTTGATGAACTGCCAGCCAGCTTCGTTCAAAGTTCGGCTCAGCGCGGCAAGGCCCGAGCATCAGTAAGGCCTTTCAGTGCCGGCCTTGCCGATAAGCTTCTCCGTTAAGGTCAGTGCAGAGGCCTATGGTGCTTGGAACGTAAAGAAGGAGTTTACGCCCCCGGTGTATCCCAAGGAGGACGAGCAAAAGGCCAGGTACACTGCGACTGTTGACTCTTCCGAACAAACGATGTTGCTATGTCAGAATCAAAGACGTCCTCTCCAAGTCGTTCCTCTTCGCCGCTTTGGACAACAACGATTTTGCCATTGTCGTTGACGCTATGAAGGAGGTGCGTCTTGTATGTAGCCCTTGGCCAGGCTTGATTGGTATCTCTGGTAGGAGACTGTGAGTGCCAAGGAACGTGTGATCAACCAAGGAGATGATGGCGACTTCCTGTTCGTCGTTGAGAGTGGTGAATTAGAGGTCTATAAGAAATTCCCAGTGAGTTATCATGACCTACAATCCTGCCTTGATGTGTATCAAACAGGGAGACGAGGAGGAGAAGATGCTGAAGGTGTGCGAAGTCGGTGACGTCTTTGGCGAGCTCGCCCTCCTCTATAACGTCCCTCGTGCCGCCTCTGTGGAGGCTAAGACCGACTGCACCTTGCTGAGGCTGGACAGGGAAACCTTTAACCACATCGTTAAGGTAGAGCGTTCATGATGTGCTTACTGAGGCCTATTTGAGCTTGTTTATCGGTCACTTTTCTTTTGCAGGATGCAGCAGCACATAAGCGTGAGCGTTATGAATCCTTCTTGAAATCCGTGCCACTGTTGAACTCCATGGACGCGTATGAGAGAAGTCAGATAGCTGACGCCCTCAAGCCTGTCTCGGTTGCTGCCGGAGAGATGATTGTCAAACAAGGTGAGTCTCGCATCGCGTCCAAGCATCATCGCCGATGCAAATCTCTTTGAGCCTCCGTTCGGGTGATGTGACCAATGAAGTGTCCTTAAGCAGTTGAAGAGAAGACCTTGGTTTACTTGGAGCTTGTTCAGGTGAGCCCGGTGACACCTTCTACGTTATTGAAGATGGTGACTGTGAGGCCTTGAAGGAGCGCGATGGAGGACAGCAGGAAGTGGTATGAGCATCTTATACCTCCTGTCCGTCCCAGGCTCATCATCAGGTTATGTCTTATGGCGCTGGGGACTATTTCGGCGAGCTCGCTCTGCTCCGTGGGGAGCCTAGGGCAGCGAGTATTAAGGCCAAGACGGACACCAAGCTTCTTGCTTTGGACAGGTTACTGCGAGTTTGCCATTTGGCGAGATTATGCTCGTGTCGTTCAGGCGCAGCTTCAAGAGGTTGCTCGGACCTCTTCAGGAGCTGTTGGTGAAGGCATGTGATCGATATGCGAATTAGACCACTAGAGGCTATTCTATACCCGCATACCATGTTGTTTAGTCGTCTTTTCCCTCTCGCTATTGGGCGTGGGGATGTCTGTGCTTGATAAGTGGCGATACCATGGAGCGTAATAAATTTATCGTGGTGATGTGCTGGTTGGTAGTGTTAGTAAGATCAATCACGTAAGGGTAGTAGGGTGCTCCTTTCGTGGTATCAGTGAGATGTGTCTGCCCATGATATGGCATTGGATTGGGATATTGAAATCCTACACAGTGTCCCTTCCTGATCGGCTATCATGCCCAATACGCTTCCTGCCAATAGAAGTGTTGGTACTGCTGCAGGGATTCTCCCCAGCAATCCCCCTACCGAGAGGACTGTAGGTGTCTAGTTCACTCCTTGGAGATGACTTACTTCCCACGGTCTTATCGGCTTGTTCGGGACCGCCGGTGTATCTTTCACTCGGGAGGAGTTCTCTCCCTGTAGGCGATCATTCAGGTTTGTGTACTGGACGGCCATAGTCTAACCTGTGAGAAGTTGATGGAGTTGTCGACTGGTAATGTCGAGCTCACCCTCTCTGCAGCGGCCTGGGATAAGGTAGAATACGTCACCGTCTAAGCCGGTGGTATGGCCCTAGGCAGGTCAATAGGGGCCGCCATGTGATCGATCAAATACTGGATAAGAACGAGGTGGCCTATGGAATCAACACTGGCTTTGGTATGTTTTCGGACGTCATAGTCGCGCCAGATCAACTCTCTCAGCTGCAGGTGAGTGCGCAGCGTATAGAAGCTTGACGGGGTCATGGCCCTTTGCAGGTGAATCTGATCCGGTCCCATGCGGCTGGGGTTGGACCGCCTCTCTCCCGGGAGAGGACCAGGATGCTTCTGGCTCTCCGGGTTAATGTGATCGCATGTGGCCACTCTGGAGCTAGACCCGAAACGGTGGAGAAGATGCTTGCGGCTTTCAATAAGGATTGTCTATCGGTGGTTCCATGCCAGGGTACTTGCATATCACTCAACGCTTATTTTACTGGTTTACTTTGTCGATAGCCTCGTCTCGTTGGGATCAGGTACGGTCGGCGCCTCGGGTGATTTGGCCCCACTAGCTCATCTTTGCCTGGGGTTGCTTGGAGAAGGGCTCATGTGGGATCCACAGTCAGCTGAGCCCAAACCCGCTGGGGAAGTCCTTGAAAGGTCATTGATCTTTGGGCAGTTGATCTTCCTATTCGATCGCCCATAGGCATGGACTGGAACCCCTGCAGCTGGGTCCTAAGGAAGGACTAGCTTTGATCAACGGGACGCAGCTGATTTCGAGCCTTGGAAGCGAAGCCGTTATGAGGTCGATCAACGTAGCAAGATGCGCTGATATCACCTGTGCCCTGTCTCTGGAGGTCCTTATGGGTGAGGTCTCCTCACTTGGAGAAGAGGAGTATGTTGAGGTCTGGCAGGCACCCATAACGCCTTCCACCCTAAGATCCATGCGGCGAGGCCTCATAGCGGGCAGAACTTGGTGGCATCTAGAATTCGCGGCTTACTAGAGCCTGAGAAACCATCGAAGCTATTCGAAAGTCATCGATACAGTGGGAAGGTGCAGGACGCATATACCCTACGTTGTGTGGCGCAAGTGAGTACTTATAAGGAAACGGCATCGAGGGCATTCGCTTCACCTCAATCTAAGTGTGGTGCCTGAGAAAATTGGTAATATGCATATCCTGCTTCACAGGTCCATGGAGTTGTTTTTGAAACTATTGATTTTGTCAAGCGCCTGCTGGAAGTCGAGCTCAACTCGGCCACTGACAACCCTATGATTTTTACTGGAGGGGCGGACTTCTATCCGACTGGTAGCGCCAAGGCCCCCGTATGCACCCGCGGCAGAATTGTCTCTGGAGATGGAGCTGCCGCTTCGAAAGGTAGGCTGTGAATCTTCGGAGAGTCGACTTGAGCAGCTGTCGATTGTAGGTAGTGCGGCGACCACACCAGCAGGGGTGTCCTCGTTGAGTCCTATCCACTCAACGCCCCATGACAGCAGCCTTAATCTCGATGATAGTGTAGGATGCAGGTCGTGGTCAGTGGTTGACCATCGTGGTAGTTCCCTCTTCTGGACGGCCCTGACGATGCAAGTGACATCTCTGACTTGAATGGCGCCCGTAAGGAAATCCAGAAGATGCGGGCTCTTCTCAAAAACTTCAAACAGGAGAACACAGCCCTCAACGTACGTCCTCTACCAAGCAGTAGCTTTCACCGTGGCAAGCACGTATTTCGTTAGACTCACCTCATGGAGACTCTATTGCTTGGTACTAGTGGCTTCATTATTTCCGGTGGCAACTTCCATGGGGAGTAATCAGTGTTGTTGGCTGAAGGGCACCGCGACTGCCTCGTAGATACCCCGCGAAGGCGTTGGACTATTTGGCGATAGGCATACAGGAGCTGGCTAACATCTCGGAGCGCCGCATGGAAAGGCTGGTCAATCCGGCTCTGTCGAATCTCCCGGCATTCCTCGTTCAAAACGGCGGTCTTAACTCGGGATTCATGATAGCTCATTGCACTGCTGCTGCGCTAACCAGCGAGAATAAGGTATTCCTTATTGCCTCAGCAGCGCTATGATTCTAACGTTCAGGTTCTATGTCACCCGTCATCTGTGGATACTCTATCTACCTCTGCGGCTAAAGAGGATCTTGTGTCTCTGGGAGAGGCTCTCCGCAGGGAAGTGCCTTGAGGTCATCTCCAATGTCGAGGTCGTCATTGCTATTGAGCTCATGGCTGCTTGTCAAGTGAGTCGATACAGGGACCCTGCAGACTAGGAGATCTTTATGCTAGGCCCTCGAATTCCACCGACCCTGTCGCACTACGGTGCCACTAGAGGCCGTATATGATCTTATACGGTCGGCCGGTGTAGATCCATATGATGAGGACCGCTACATAGCCCCGGACATTGACAAAGTCACCGATCTCGTTAGGTAGGTTAGATCAGGAGGTGTTACTATGGTTAGTAGGTCGCGTTAGGTCTGGTGCGGTATGGAGAGTGGTGGAACCTTACCTTAAACAACGAGAGGAGAGTCAAATCGACGAGGTCTCCCCCATTGACATGATGCCGAGGGGTGATATCCTCACCCTGAGCCGGAAGCTTTAATAGCTCGCACGAGTTGGGTAGACCGTGGAAGTAATTTGACTTGGGAGCACCTCCATGTTTCTATATCCATTTTCAACTTTTTAGTTAATGTCTCAATCAGTCTCTATGCGAGTTGCGTTAGCCTGCTCAGAAGTCTCGTTCGTCTGTCATCGCTGAAACTAATCGTCGAGGCATGGACTTTCAAATCCGATTTTGCCCTAGGCCGCTTCAGCGTCCATCTGCCGTCACCACTGAAACGCTCGATGTTTCTCCTGACCGCCAGGCTTTTTGTCAGCATGCCGTTACTTGCCTCATGTCGAATGCAGCTCTGTTCGATAGGGGCACACTTGGGCCTTCTGTGGCTATCATGATTTTCAACAGAGTTTTAAGGTCATATCTGTCGTGGTTGAGTTCACCACTTCTGTTGTCACATACCGCTTCAATGCAAGTTTCCACTCCACATGGCTACTGCTATTCCGAAGATCGTAGGTAAGGCACGCAAAGGCTCCAAAGCTGCGTTGGCTGCGAATAAGCGCCTTATGCTTAGAGGGGCTCCTCCTGTCGGGGCGGTGTATAAAATGTCCCCGGTCGAGCTACGACGCAGCATGCAGAAAGTAGCACGTGAACGCATCTGGAAGAATGACCTATGGGAAGCTTATATGTTCCGGGCAGCGGCGCTCCGAACTGAGCTGCTGGTTACAGATCTCTGCCTGATTCTAGACGCTACAGCTTTGGGGAAGAAGCGCTCGCCGGCCTTGGCCCGGTTCCTGTTAGACGAGGTAGTCCGTAAAGGCAACAACGTGAACTATAAGATGTCGTTTCGTGATGTTGTGATGGCCCTCAACGCTGGCGCAAAGATGCGCCTTGGCGGAGACAAGCGGTGGGCTGACGAGTTAGTCACGATGGGCCTCCGGAGGATCTCTGGGACAGATCGGCATGCTGTCTCTCCGAATGACATTGCTCTCTTTTTGCACTCCCTCACGCGCCTGTGCGTGAGTACAACCCAAATGGAGGCGGCCCGGAACAGTGTGGCCAGTGAGGTGACGCCGAGAATACCCAAGCTGACGGACGGCCACACCCTGTCACTTCTACTGCACGGTTTTAGTCCCCTGGGGAGTGCAGGGTTGGAGGAGGCAACAGAGTATGAGGATCGAGGAGACGAGGAAGAGGCTGAGGAGGACGAGCCTTTCGAAGAACATGGTAGGGAGGATCAGAGAGACACGACTAAGGAGAATACGATAACGCACAGGCCGGTGTTGAAGATGCTGTTCAAGCAGGTTGTCGAGCATATCAATAAGGAACGAGTATTCAATAATATGGATGTGGCCCACGTCATACTGGCTGTTGTCAACATATATCGTCGATCTCCGAAGGAGCTCGAGCCGAACGGTTTGGTTCCTCCTAGTCTCATACCCGCATTGAATGGCCGTATAGAAGAGTTAACGGCCAAGATGAAGCCACGCGACATCGTTCGATTCATGCGGTACACTGCTCAGCTACCGGTTATCGAGACGGGCAAGCTTCTACCCGAAATACTATATAGGATTCGCCATTTCACTCCAGCGTCCTGTCTGGAAATTCTCAGACTACTACGCCAAAATCCTGGCTACGACGAGCACGGCAAAGTTGAGTCCACCATTTTCTATCGGCTCATTCGTGGGGATTCGGCGAGATTCCTCACATTCGAACAGGTCTGTCATCTAGCCGGCGTGGTCCTCGAGGATTCTCCCACTTGGGAGGCCCGAGAGTGTCTGCTGACATGCTTGTTGAAGTTTAAGGCCAAGAACGAGGGAGTGCCGCCACCTGAAGTGGTCATCCACGCGATCAGCGTCTACTCTCGGCTGGGCATCCGAGACACGCATTGGGTGCACGTTTGCAACAGCACGCTGTATCCTCTGCCGGAGCTTCCACCCCCAATCCTGGCAATGCTCGCCTCGGCGCTGGCTCGTCTCTCTCTTCCTACGGTAGCAGATCAGTTGGGGGTTTACGTGGCGGCTCAGAATTCTGATTGGAACTCAGTCGAGCCATCAGCTGCAGCTTCGCTCCTCTATTCGGCTGCGCTATTTGCACTGCAACCTCCTGGGCGGCAGCCTGAGACGATGACGGCAGAAACGCTGCAACCAGCACTTGTCCGAGCACGACGGGTCGCGAAGAAGGATCCGGAGGTGGCCTCCGCTTTGGGTCTCTTCGCCGTTACAGATGTGGGAAAAGCCATGGGAGCGACAGCCCCTCTAGTACAGACTAATCGGCCAAGATGCGGCTTTGAAGTGTCCTTGCTGGACCACATACGACAAAACTGGACGGGAGTTGACATAATCGAGAACGCGGTGACTGTGGGACCTGTTGTGGCCCTAGCTGCGATATCTCCCATACAAGTCGCAGCCTTTGCTCAGAGGCGGGCAGCAATCTCGGAGGGAGACTATGGTGATGAGTTCGAATTTCCCAAGGCGCCCCCTTTGAAACCGGACGACTGGGTCATTTTGGAAGCTCTTTCGGACGGCCACAAGACTTGGTATAGGAAGCTTTGTATTCGCTACCGCCGTATCTACGTTCATTCAGGTATCATTACTCTGAAGCCTTGGCGTCACAAACGATGAGACATCGCCGACACACTGTGAACGCAGCGAGATACGCAGAGCTGCAGGCCTTGCGGACGAAGGGGTACCGAGTTCTCTGCGTCAGCGAGTACATGTGGCCGGGTGACTCTGAGAAGCGTACGGACGTTATTCTCGATCAATTCGCTCACTTGGCGAGCGGAAAGAGAGAAGTTGAGTGGAAGAGAGTCGTGGAGGGCAATACTCCCGTTGTGAATAATGATGTTCTCAGCCATGTCTCTGATTCATCATGATGTTTCTGATCCCCAGTATGTTTTTTGACATCAAGTTATCGGACAGAACTTACGTCTGGATAACATCCTATCTCACAGCTGTTGACTCACGTGGACTTCGATACAAAACCCGGTGACGCGACAGGGAGGCTATGATGAACAGCGATCGAGGTCAACTTCGGTTAAGACTCCATAATGCTGCCTTGATTCAATCTTAAACATGTTAGTTTAACGTCATGACGTACACAACTGTGAGCAAGCAAGGATGAAACTTGGATGCGTATTGCCAAACTTGCGTGCATAAGTCAAACTTGTGCAGTATATTGTTAATCTTGATCATGGTATATTCTGGTTGTGTCAAACATTAATACTTCGTGTCAAACTTGGTTGTAACAAAATAGACAAGTGACCAACTTGGATTTTCATTGTCAATCTTGATTGTAACATAATTAGATTGTGACATACCTGAGTTCTAAGAGTCAAACTTGATCGCAACACCGTCGTTCTTGCCTGCTCATTCGTTAAACTTGCGCAGGAAAAGGGGTAGACAGGTCACTCGTTGACACTCGGTGGACGGATCCACTCAAAGTCGTGATCGGGCCGTCGATTGATATTCGAGATAGCCGGTGCTAGCGACCCTGGCAATACAATCACGAAGTTGGATACATACACCAGATGATACTCTAGCTGCGGCCGCCAAGGTTCACAGGAGTGCCAACAGTAATCGTCCAAAGAATTTTCACGTTTCGTGAAAATTCTACGTGAATCACGAACGCTCCTATATGCATTGTCCAGCTGTCTCCTCCGCACAAGCAGGGCCGCACAGTCGGAAGACGAAGGCGGCTGTAGTGGCCGAACGGAGTCGATTCACACATAGCGAACAATCGATAAAACTTAGCCAACAAACTGATCAGCGAGAGCGGGCAGATCCGCCCACCATCACTCATGTGTAAAAGAGCCCTGCACACCATTTGATCAGTCGCAGTATATGCGTGCCCCATGATGTACATGCGTTCGTTGGGAATCGTTCATTGGAAACCATTTTTCATTATTTTTTCGGTCGAACTTATTGTTCCATAATACATCGGTATTACATTATTATGCTGATTCTCTCGCGAATAACCCTGAATCTTCCATTGTACCTGAATGGCCACTGACTCAGTGGCACTGAGAAGGCCGTGATTGAGCCATAAGACTCTACAATATTGTGCGACCGACGATATTACAATATTGTGCCTCGTGTCAGCGCAAAATTAGTGACGAACAGTTTTACCCTACGCTACTTGCTCAATCAATGGGGTCACGTTTTGCTCATTGCTCATCTTTTACACTACCCCATCTCTCATTATGTCGAGTTATCTCAGTGGGCAGGCGCTCGTACAATATGGCCTTCCCTTCGCTGCATCTTTCAGGATAGTTCATCCGTAAATGAAGTCACTTACCTCGGTATTACTCTTCCTCTTGGTGGCACATCGTCCGACGATAGCTTGGCTCAGGCTAGAAGAGAAACTTCCGCGCTGGCTCGGTAACAATATTATTTACCGCAAGTATCAGGCTGGCGACGACTCGAGCCGCGTTCTCGAGGATCTTGCTATTCTCTGTACACGAGAGGATGTGTTTTGTTTCGTCGCGGTAGACACTTCTATCAGCGCGAAGGTGAGTCTCTGAGTGCCAAATATGTTCAACCACGAATTCATGTTTGCGCCTGCAGCCTCGAACCTGCGCCCTGGAGTGTTAGTGCAATGCCTTGAGACCATTGCTTTCTGTTGGAGGGATGCAATGCATTCCATCATGTCGCTGAGCTCGGCTCGCCTCGCGGATAAGTGTTTTATCGGGTTTTCAGGCCGTTGTCGGCTATATCGAAATGGAAATTCCTGCTTACATGCCGGATCCGAGAGTGATGGACGCTATTCTCGAGAAAATGTAAGCGACAATTCTCTGATACTCCAGCGGTAGGAGAGAATCGGGGGATCCTTCGTCTCTGAGGATAGTGTCTTTGTGAGCATTCTTCTGCAGGCCCGCTCCAAGTAAGAAGAAGAAAGATAAAGTCATTGGTTATATAGCTTATGTAAGTCGGCAGCGTGATATGACGCTGATTGGATCATCGAAATTGGTTGTTGAAAAATCAGGTAAAAGTGGCTGCGTCCTCTCGAGGCCAAGGCATTGGAACGGACCTTATTTCACGTACCTTCAACTATGTGAGTGCTGTTTTCTCCGGGTTCATTGCAGAAGACATGCGAATGTTGTCGATGTCGACTACTTTAGCTCGGCCGAACCAGGCCCAACTTGGTCGCCATGTACCTAATGGTAAATGAGGACGATAAAGCAGCCATTGCTTTGTATAAGAAGACGCAGTTCGTGATGCTCACATGTGAGTAGTTGGAAAGCAATCTGATATGCTAACACATACAGAATCGCTATGCTACTGTGGTCGTCTGTATTTGAGTGATTGAGTATCCCCGACGATCCTCTCAGACCAGGACAAAGATACTCTCTATTACGCGCGTTATAACATGAAGTAGATCGCAGTGGCTCACAGAGTTCTATCACGGAGCCGTCTTTCTACTTCACGTAAGTATATGCCTTTCATCGCAGATAGGTTAGTTGATCATCTTAGGACCATCATGTGAATTCCATAGCTTTTCTCCCGTTTTTCGAGAGAACCGGACCATTTCTTCTTCAAGGAGTTATTCGGTCTGCAAAAAACTCGCCTGTTCGACAAGCAGCACATGTTCTCTCGCACCAACCCAAGCTGGCCCAATTTTTCCAATGAGAAACTCTGAGTGAGGATGGCTTGTGCTTGACAATGACTCTTAATTTTGCTGGTTGAACGGAAGCTTCCTCTGAATACCGGTTCTTGTATAGTGTTAACTTAATGAGTAGCGAGAGGATGGGAGTGAATCAACAACCAATAAGAAGAGCTCACTCAGTGCTTTGGAATGGTAGCCGTCGGCTTCTATCTACATTCATCTGAGGCTCAGTGAGAAGTCACGTGGAGTGGGCCCTGTATTTCGATCATGCTGTAGACGGTTATGGAATGTCCGTGTGCAAAGCACTGATGAATTATGGAAGCTCGTTGTCGCGCATTCCTCTCGAGATCAGTGAACGTGTTTATCAGTTCTTCAGTTGCGATCAACTCGCCTCTGCCGGCCCGTGATTTCTTTTGCCGCTGTTCCCAGATGCGCGGTTTCTCTCGTCTTCGACTAGTCCAGCAAACTTCCCCTTCAGCTATTGTCTTGCACGCTAGCTCTGGCAACTCTTATCTGCCACCTCGCGAAGCTCTCATAGTTTCTTCTCTAACAATCGAGATTTCATTAGCGCCCTAAACTAACCTCGGCCTCGAATATTCGTCCCATCGAGAGTATGATATAACAATCGCGCTTGAAGAGTATGACGTCCCTCCACCTGCTACGACAAGGTGAACTACAACGAACTAACCAGATAAGCTGGCCTCAGAATCACTATGTAGGGATAGTCGTGGTCACTACGAGAGCCACACAGTATCCTACTGCCAAAACACACCACTTGAGGACTCTGGTCGTGCTGTTCTACCACACCTCGCTGGCAGCAAAATGAGTTGCACTGCATATTGAGCGATCGGAACGGATGTCACATCAAAAGATGTCGGGGGAGGACATGACATCAAGCTGTGGCCTTTCTAATCTCACGGGAGGACATAGAGCTCCAGCGGGAATCCGATACAGTTCATGATGGGACCTGAACACAATGGGCGTTGTCAGAGTATTTCAGCAGCGGTACACCATTTATCGCAGAAAAGAAGCCTTTGGTCAGCTCAGATGAGCGACCGCCAAGACCAATTATTGGTCACCAATGTGCATTGTCCGTCGTGGGCATGGTATGCATCATCCATAACCTCCTAAGTTGGACAGCTCGTGATTCATTGGATTCGAACTCACTTCGGAAATGGGTCATCCCATCAGTTATGAAGTCTGTTGGTGACTCCTCAAGCCTGAAGGAGTATTGGTGCCGTCGAATCTCCATATTCTCGTCTTGTAATGCCATGCGTTGCCGGTACATCTTTATGAAGTTGATGCTGTTGATTCCATCTCTGCTCGTTTCCAGTCCCAGCTCGCTGTCCAGAACCATCCAACGATCGAGACCATCTCTCGGGCCGCGGGACCTCCGGATTTATCGCTGGGTCGAATGGGAACGGGTGACCGATCTCACGCGAGTAATGCCTTCACCGCTCACGATATCTCACAATAGGCGCTGTAGTGGTGACCGGAGAATTCAGTGAGCGAGCGGGTTGCAGACTGGGTAGGCTAAAGTCATCGAGCTGAGCCAACAGTGTCTTGGACCATCCCAGGCTCCGGCGTGGGACTCGACGCACGACTGATTCTTGGTCGGACAATGGACACTCTCAGGCGATTTGCGAAGCTCTCATTGAGCATCGACAATATGAGCTCCTTGATATTCAATGCAATTCATGGACCCAGACCTTTGCAGACTTTTCAGTCTGATCGTGCAGTGCCTCATACGCAACCTGGGTATCAGCTCCGAAGCTACAAGACTTCTCCATGAACATCCCGCCGGGCATCTAGACCAGCTGTTCTATCACTGTGAAGAACAATGCGTCTCGGGAGTGAAGCGAATGAATCCACTAATGAATCCACTAGTGTCTACACAGAAGCCCCACGCGCGTCAGTACCGCCAGCGGTTGACGGTCAACCCAATTACCTTGCGTACGCTAAGAGCCCCTAGCCTGAGGACGAGGCTACCTGATAGCCACCACCACGTCTGGTACCCACCGGGAGTAGAAGGAAAACTTTCTCGACTGAGAAGCCGCGGTGAAGCATTTTGGACGGCAACAGTAGACGCATCCTCAGGGAGGACATCCGAGGATACAGGGATTGCAGAGTAACCCACATGTGAGCAAGCCAAACGGCAGGGACTCCCGTGGGAGGCTATCCACCCCTTCACAGGCTTTCAATCAGGGCCTCACGCTCTCTACTGACGCTGTACCTAACCTGGATGGAACATTCGTTGCCAAATTTTTCTCATAAAGGGTTCTTCGTGCACGAGCAGAAATGTGGCGAATTGCCACTATGTGTGGTGATCAGGGCGACATGTGGACCGCACAGTATTAGGACGACCTTTGGAAGACTTCTAGGAAATCTTATCCAGAGACGACTTCATCACAAAAAGTCTAGCCATAGTCCTGTTATCAACGCCGCCAGGACATGCCCATGATATCTTCGTATGTTTCTCACGGTGACCACGTTCCCAGCTTTACACACCGACCGAAGACTCCCAACTAGAAACACAGCGCGCTGATTGATAGTCGAAATGATAGAGATGACCGAGTTCTGACGTAGAGATGATGGTGAAGATGATGACGATGATTTTTATGACGATATTAATCTTGGGTAATATAGCTACAGTAATGGTAATATGTAGAATCAACTTTCAGCGGCGGCGCTGCTTTGACTTGCGAACGCCGGGCTATGCTTAAGATACTGTAAATGTGGTGTCCAGAAGGATGCAGCAGCAGCGGCGGCGGCGGCGGCAGTTGCTCCTTGAGAAGAGGCAGGTTGAAGACCAGGAGACGTGAAGGTCAATGATGGGAACGTCGATGCGGGAGTACTAGTATTAGAGCCAGCAGCAGCTGTTGGAGTTACAGCAGTAGTCGCTGACGATGCCGAGCATGTGCTGGTATTACCGGTACAAGTAAAAGCAGCCCCCGTGGATGGTGTGTGATAAGGCAAGAACGTTGGGCTGAGAGGGAAGCCAGAAGATGTCTGCGCTCCCTTGGGATAGAGGCTGCCTAAAGACCCAACAGCGCTCTCTTCCAGTTGGATGTCGTCATCAATGATCGGCCCATCAACACCATTAGGCCCGCCAGGAGGAGCTGCGCCTCTGAAGGGAGTGAGCTGTGTGGCAGGGAATGCTGGGCTCCGCAGATACTTAGGTAAAGCTGAGGAGAACATTCGACTTGACAATAGGGGTGAACCAGGGTTGAACAAGGGTGATAAGGGTACATACGACGACGACGAGGCTGAGGTTGACGATGAAGTGGTTGCCGTGGTAGGGGTAATAGTCCGCGCCCTTTTAGGGTCAGTGGTGACCCTTTCGCTAGCGCCCGCTAGGTTAGCAGGGATTTCAACAGCAGTAGTATTGAGAGAGCCCTCACCACCGAAGAGGACACTCTGAGCCAATCCAGTCTTGACCGGCACAGTGTCCCCCTTAACAGTAGCAGCATCTTTAGCATCTTCCGATTCCGATCGATCTCGCTTCCTCGTCCTAGCTAGCGGCGTACTACTACTACTATTCTTGCCACCCATAGGCCTTGGCCAGACAGCAGACGGATAGGGCATCATGAACGGCATCATATTACCAGGGCGAGCAGCAGCAGTGCCATACACAGCCTGAGCCAGAGACGGGACCACCCCTGGTCTCCTCGACTGCTGTGCGGCGGTCAAAGAACTCTGGACGGACGGCCGTGGATCAGACGGACCCGAGTTGGATGAGTTATGAGTGCCTCGCTCCGCTCGCAGCTTTGCAACTACTTCTCTTATCATCGTATGACTCTCCTCAGCAATAAACGACTCCCTGGCTTGATCAGACTCGAAGACCTTATGCTGTTCCTCGATCATTCGCTCAACCTTGGTCCTAGCCGAGTCGACTGAGTCTTCCATAACCCTCCGATCCGACACAGCATCGGCCAGATTCCGGCGCACAGGCCCGTAGATTCGTTTCTTATTGACGTAGATGGTAGCGTTATAACCTCCATTATTACGCCACACGCCCTTGGGTGCTGCATAGGGCTTCTTCCTCCGCTTTATCCCCGCTACCGCCTCAGCTGCGGCTGCCGATCCACTCCGCTCCGTATCTCCCCTCATCATCATCTCGCCACCCTGACCATAACCCCTCGTGCCAGGATAGCCCTGAGAATACCACGGATTGCTCATCGCAGCCGCATAACTCCATTGGTTATACTGCAGCTGTTGAAACTGCTGCCAAGTCTGCGTATCATAGCCAGCCATAGCCGTCCCCATCTGCTCGCTTGCCCCACCAACAGAGGGGCCTTGTTCCGGGCCCATATCCAGAGTAAGCTCGCCGTACTTCAAATCGTCGTTGTCACCATCTAGAGTGCAACAATCCTCATTCATCGCCACCAAAGGAAGAGTACCCGCATCGGACTCAGCCATATGATCGCTGGAATCAATACAACTATTACTACCGGAAGACTTATCAGCCTTAGGAGTGGTGATGCCGCAACCAAGGTCGAGGGTCTTGACATCCACACTATGCTCCGAACTTCCAGGAGAGTGAGCACCAGCAGATATCAAAGCTGCTGTGAGCTGGCCAGACATCCCACCAGCCGGCTGGGCTGTTGGGGAGGACATGCGGGGCTCAGCCTCCCCAAGTGGTGACCCCGACGACGGAGGTACTGGCCCTGTTATGGCTGTTGACCCTCGCTTCATTTGGGCATGAGCAATAAGTGCCTGCTGCTGTTGTAGTAGCATGTACTGCTGCATCTGGATCTGTTGGTTCATATTCTGGAGCTGTGCCGCGGCCATAGCAGCTCCCATCATCGACATAAATACCGGATTGTCCCCATCACCCCTACCTGGTGCCGAGCCAGCCGCCTTGTCACCATCATTACCAATGCCCTCCAACAGGTTAGGTGGTGACTTCTCCTGCTGACCATAGCTGCCATCACCATTCATCATACCAACCGCATTGACCGTATCAGATATCGGGTAGAGCTGCGAGGCAGACTCTTGCGGCCGAGCCGAGATAGTCGTCAGTTGCGGAACCAAATCGGCGGGCGAAGTGGACTCATCAGGGCCCAAACAGCGTGATTCCGTGCCGAACGCTGAGGCCTCTGGTAAACTCTCTGACATTAATCAAAGAAAGCACAACTGCAGGACAACAACTCGATTAACACGACGCAAGTTGACAACCAGCGAGCACGCGAATTCAGCCAAACTAAGAATCTCACTTCTTGCATTCTTGCATTTCCTCAACGGAGGAAATTGTCAAAACTTCCCAACACGCACAAGTCTCACAGCGAAACACTCAACAACTACTGACATGAACTCGAGCGATGGAGAGATAGAAACTATCATTTGCCTGTTCATTTCCTCTGTAGACCAGCCCAAGGCAGGACCCTAGAGCCAGCGGGTAAAGACGCAGAGTATGGCGGCAACGAAGCATTACTCGAGGAGGGACAGCTGTCTCCCGTCGGCTCGTCATCATCAGAGTCGGCATTCAAGAAATCGGCGAAACTCGACGGTGCTGCGGTACTCGTTCTGACACGTTTGGCTTCATTGAAAATTGGAGCTGCTGCTGCTGCTGCAACGGGCTGGTCCCGAGTCCGCTTAGCAGCTCTCGATGCACTTTTAGCCTTCGGTTTCGCCTTGGCCTTTGCTTTGCCCTTGGCCTTCGCCTTGGCTCTTCCTTTAGGCTTAGCCGCCACCACCGGTCGATGGAACTCATCCTCGGAGGCATCAAACTCGTCCTTAACAGTAGGGAGCCTCCCTCTGGAAGTGGTAGAAACAGACCCTCTCGATGACGATGACGAAGAAGATGTTGCTGCTGCTCCTGGAGATGGCAGATCCCCTCTGGAATTCTCCGCCTGGAATGCGAACATTAATGTCAATTATAGGATTCATAACTTCGCTACTTGCGATCCTTCCACGTTCGTGCGCCTCACCATCTCAGCTCTAGTTCTAGCAGCCTCCCGAATGACCCCTTCTTGAGCTGGCACATGATCTCGATCAGCTTCGATGGACTCGCTGGTCTGCTTCACCACCTCCGACACGAACTGTGTGATCGCAGCGGTCTCGTTCTTATGCACGTACCTACGAATCACGTTTAACCATAACACGGCTCCCCCTTTCCTCCAGGGGACCCATCCAGCTTTGAGAAATAACGTTCCCTAGGCTTTGATAACAATGGGGAAATGCTCCTAATGTTATGATATTTACACGGGAAACTGATTGACAATGTGTTCCTAGACATATTAGGGAATTCAAAATGAGTTTCCTTAGGGAACTTCATAGGTTTCTGGATGATTCCCTCCTTCCCATCCACAGCCTACTCCTGAACAACCTCGTTAAGCCTGGTCTCCGGGATGAGGTCGAGGCAATCAGCACCATTGACGTAGTGAAAGATGATATCCTGCATCATATCCCTGTCGGCCGTAGTATCATCACTCGATGCTCCAGCGGGCACATGATCTTCCAGGTTCAGTTGGACTGACGGTGACAGCTAAATTTCTATCACCCCCCTGATGTGACATACGTTCATTTTTCTTCTGCTTCGCTGGTCGTTTTTTCTTCTTGTGAAACAACAATATATCAGCCGGATTAGCAACCTCCTCGAGGAACTGCTGACCAAATTTCTGATTCGGTATAACGGGATAGCTACTGCCAACAGGCAGGCCGGGGATTCCCCCATCATCACCATCATCTTCCTCTACTGTGACATCGACTCGCACTCGTATCAACGGTCGAATCTGCCAACAATGTTCCTCAGCCGCTCTTCCGATGCCGAATTACCGCACGGGCCGAGTCGCGTTTATACAAAGGGGTCAGCCTGGTGTCTTCTAGCCACTTCTTATACGCCAATACTTGTGCCTTGCCGAGCTCTTTGCCATGGTCGACCATCCTTCTCACAACGTCGCTGAGGGAATTCCACGCCTACAGACTGTCAATGACTCGCAAAGGCCCCTCGATACCCCAAAAGAAGCCACTCACCAGTTCTTCCATTTTCTCCCCGCTGCCGTCCAGTCGGCTCTCCCTCTGAGCGATGAGTTCCTTCATGGACTGAGCTCAACCACTATTCAAAACGCCACAGAGGAGGAATGCCCTCACCACATCCTGCACTAGCAGTGGCCGGGGGCTCGTTAAGGGTATAGGGGTCGTTCGCCATCCTCGACCTTTGAGGAGCTCCAACAAGAAGATATGCTTAGGGAGGCTCTCACCAGCAGAGAGGGAAGTCTGCACCTTATCACAACGTAACAATGACCCAACCATCCGAGTACTAGATCCTGGCAAGTACTGACGATCCCGGCTGCAGCACAGAGAAGCCTTGGGCTGTCTCCACTGGGTCGATAATAGACTCATGTTCGTGACCCCAAACAACCAAGTCCAAGAAACCTGACCACCAACACCCAAGGTCGTCAGCTTATGTCGACTTCGAGTGAATACCTGGTAACTGTGAATTCTGCAGAGAGCTGCTCCCCGGCACGCCGCCCGCTACCCCCTTATACCGATTCTGATGGACCAACATAACGGAAAAGTATTCACTTTCCGATTCCGAACCGCCACGGCCCGGAGGGATTTCGAATCTGACCTGAAAAATCCGGAAGCCTCGCGAGCTGATACAACTCCGAAACCTCCACCTTGCCAGCGTCAATCGCTCTGTTGAGTCTTTCATCCCGCATGTTCCCAAGGCCATACAACGCTAGTTTCGTCTCGCCCTTCTGGATGAGAATCGGACGGATAACGATCCGGTCCAAGTCCATCTGCTGACCGAAGTAGTTGACCTGATGCGACCGTAGAGAGCTCGGATAGAGCCGCTTGAAGAAAGGCAGTAAACGATGCCAACGCAATAATTTGAAATCAGAGCTGCAGCAATCACGCATTCAATATGTCTGTGTGTCAGGTTAAAGCCCAACGCCGTGGCCGGCTAGGTTAGACACATTCAGTGCCGAATCGCGGATTTGGAAACAAGACCGGTATGGATACTCACCAATCGATTCGTGTGAAGTAAGTCGATTACCGACATATTGCCGAGCCCGCCCGGTTCATCATGATTACCATGTATCATGAATCTAGTAGGCATACTATACACAAATAACCTCGCTAAGAGCCTTACACTGGAAGCCCGACGTTGTAGTTAGGATCCTCATAATTCGGCGGCTCGTCCCGAACAATGCCGTTCTCGTCTTGTGTCGGCAGAACCTTGATGCACCATCTTCAACCAGCGACCCCCCAGGTCAATGCTCACTTCGATCTTGATGGGCTGATCTCCCATCACTGTTTGCCGTAAAATCTCATTCACTTGTTTCATGGTCAGACGATCTGGCCTGGGGAAAAATTACCGCTCATTTGACACTAGAACTCACCTCGCGATATCAAACAGGTCACCACCATGAACAACTAGGTCGACTTGTGCCAACTTAGCTCTTTGCATTGCTTCCTCAAATGCACATACAGAATCAAGGCTCCGTACAGGGTCGTCCTAGAGACCAATGAATGGTGGTGATGATAATGGACTCAATAGTCCGCTCACCTGCTTATGGCCCACATGGTTGTCCGTGATGATCATAATCCTCATCAACGACGCATCATCACCATCAGAGGAGACTGATGCCATTCCCGATGAGGAGCAAAAATCAAACAACGACAATTACCGCGCGCCACGAATTTCACAACAGCTCAGGTAGAAGCATATTGACAACTCAGTGCGCAAAGCCGTTAGCGACGACAACCGGTCATAAAATAACACATCACACGAACAGCATCTGAACATGGTTAGATAAGTTGTATCAAGTTTCACCAACAAAACGGCCTCCAAAACATATCCAAGCCCTCCAGTTGTCAGAATGGGCTCTTTTATATGAGAACTGTGAATACTCCTGAGAATCACGAACGTCACTAGCACGCGCATCACCGAACCATCCTTACTGCATAGTCCCCTTCATCACCATCCGATACGTCGTTGTCCTTGAGCAAAGGCTCTTGCTCGGGTGGGGTGGGAGGCGAAGGGGCTGTTGGTGGTGCTGGTGATGGCGCCTTGGGCTTATCATGATCAACAGCAACTTCCTCTCGAATGATCGTATGAGGAAGCCAGGGGTCCGAGCCGGGATGGAGATGAAGATCAATCTTCTGTTGCGGATCCCGCGGTGCCTATCATTTGCAGTGAGCACCACAAGTATCACATTAAAAACTGTCTTGGAATATTTGTTTGCTTCCCTCAGCTAAGCTCAAGACTTTCTCCACTACTTATGGAAATTCACACACGACTAAGGACCGAAATCCACTAGGACCAACAAGAATTCCCCAAAACTTTCTCGAAATTTGCATATCGTCACCATCACCGTTAAAAATTATCGCAAAATTTCCTCATAATTTCCATATCGTCACCACCACACTTAGTTCACCCTATGCATACCTTAATCCCACACAGCTCGGCCCGCTTGTACGGTGGTAGCTTATGAAACACATGATAGATTTCCCGCATAACCTCTAGTCGCCCCTCGAGCTGCGAGTAGGTTAATGTACCTTCATCATCACCAAGAACTGTCACTCGCTCATCAACACCAACCGTACAAATCGATTTGAAATCTTTACACTCGGGAGACTTCTCGCGGCTGAGCCGAGCAAATACATAATCCTCCGGATCAAAACTCTCCCCTTCCGCATGCACCCTTTCCACGAATATCTCAACGTTGATCGCATACCTACCAAGCACTCCACGATCGAACTCTTCCCCTTCATCCTACCTCCGGCACGGGAACATGTCCTTTGAAATCAAGTTAGCCTCGTCCACTAAGGGGTACAGCTTCATGACAGTAAACTCCTCGATAAGCTTATACTCCTTACTACTCTTCCCCCACCTAATAGACGATTCTGTCGAGCCCAGCAGATCAGCCTACTTATGTCTGGCTTTCTGAAGGTAGTGGGTCAGCTCTGAGGGCAAGTGATTCTCCTGCACAAGTGTCCCAAAGGTCTTCGACAATGCTTCCTCGAAAGTTTGTCGAGACCCTCCCATTTTCGGGTAGTGCATACGTAACATGATCGCCTTACCACATACCAGATTGTCCAAATGTCGTCTGCCAACAGCAGAAACACCAATAACTGGCTGGATGCTATTCGAGGTTGTCAGATTCACTCGCAGACACGCACGAACAGCGCACTTAATATTCTATCTTATTACTAATAACATATTAACCATATTATCTATATCCTTATATATACTATTATTTATTTATATCGTATAAAAGTAAAGTTATTATAAAATATAAACATAATAATGTTAATAAGGTTATATTACTATTATAAAGGTTACACCGAAGGTCCTATTTATCACATACAGTTCTCCTAACCCCATCACTACAGTTTCGTCGGCTTCTCCCCTCTGTTGATCTTAAGACCGTTTACTGTTACCACACCTTCATCAGATAGGACCTCCACCGTGGTGTGCTGGTCAGCAGCGTTCGACACCACAAATTTACACAGGGGCTCCCCTTCCGGAATGCCCAGACCAACACAACAATCTGATGATGACGACAACTCACACAAGTCCGAACCCCATGTACCAGCACCACCCACCTTATCCCTTTCCTTATCACTACCCAACATTATACCTCCATCACTTCTGTCGAGCTGCCAGCTAGCGTGCCGTTGAGTATAGGATCCGACGAAACGTCAAAGGTACGGCTGTCTTAGCAATATCTCCTGAGCTCCCACCGATTTCCAACATTTCCATTCCCATACTTTACCGTCGACACCAGCCCTTGATTTTCCAGTTTCTTCGTCCTCTCTTCAGCAGCCTGTCTAGCCGCCTTCAGCTGTTCCTCGAAATCAGTAGCCATAACCTTCATCCTGTGCTCTTTCTCCTCCAGCTCGGCCTGCAATAGCAACCCCTCCTCCCTATCTCTACACGACCATGCCCCACCTTGAGCCGCCTAATCTCATCATCTTGGTCGTCCCCATGCCCTTGACCTGCCATACTACCACCCCGAACCGACAATTTCTGTCCGATATCAGCGAGCTCCTTCCGCAACGCTTCAAGCTCCGCGTTGGGCTGAAGGATCCACTACCGCGGCCTTCCCACTGTGTCACCAGTCCCCACCTTAATCCTATTCTGCATCGCTTTAGTCCTCACCAGCTTGGCCGAATGCGCGAACCGCAACGTCGATACGGTCTCCGACAGCTCCGTCAAGGCCGGCGATATGCAGGCGATCTATCCACACCAATCCCAACGCACAGTGAAGATTCCACATTTCTACCATAAACGTCTTGCTGTTGCCCGACAGAGAATCCTTCAACAGGAAAGTAAGTTTGGAGTTCCGGAAAGGAATATGAGCCGACTTGTTCTCCGCCAGCCCAGAGATGACCTGTCCTCTCCTCACCAATGACACGCCTCTGCGATACTACCATAGCCAGCGTTGAGAGGCTTTGGTTGATCGCGATCGCCTCCTTCAATCGGCCCCCACTAGCTCCACTTTTCTCCTGTCTCTCACTTCCAGCCAGATCCACCAAGTTGATCCTGATATGGTCAGAGCCATCGCGATGAACTTTGTGGGGTTTTCCTACCTTGCGTCCAAGTCTGGCTTAGCGGTAGGATCAGCAGACACTCTCTGTAGCCGCAGTATAAACACAGCATGTGAGCGGGACGACTGTGCGTTCATGTTGGTAGCCCCAACGGCTCTAATAACAATGAAGTCCGACCCTAGTGATATGAAAAACACTAGTGCAAAATATATTCCACGACTACTGCATATCACCGCGAATATCGAGTTCCTCACAAAGTGTTACGCCACTCCACGTAAAACGGGTGTATGTAATGTAAAATGTAAAAATGTAAAAATTGTGAAATGTAAAAATGTGAAAATATAAAAATGTAAAAATTGTAAAATGTAAGAATGTAAAAATGTAAAAATGTAAATTTTGTATGTTTTGTATTTTTTCGTATTTTGTAATTCTCCACTGTAAAGATTCTCAACAGTTAGTCTACTAGTGCTCCTTACCGTTGCGCAGTCCCATAGTCCAATAAGCCTTTGACCTCTCTGATATCCTCCACAGCGGCTTCAACCATACCGGACACCAAGACTCCACTGCCAGGCTTGTCGAAAATCGCTACGGTTTCACCTAGTGTTGAGATATGTGTTTACTTTCCTCACTACATCACGGAAATTTACATGGGACTAAGAGTAGAAATTGTCAAAGACCAACATAATTTTTTTTCCAAACTTCGTCACCATATCACAAACACACGAAGTTGACCATGTGCGTATTTTCCCACGTTGAATTCAATTTTTTCCTCACCCGAAAACGAATTCATTCACTACCATCTTTCTCCTCAGTAGAGAGAAGATCCTTTATCCGTTCATTGTAGATTTCAAGATAGGACACCCAAACCCTTGTCTGAGCATAACCGTCCTTTTGCCCTCTACCAGCTGCATGAAACAGCGCCTTCGTTATACGTGGGATGATCCCTGATTGTGGCACACGGCGTTGGATCCCATCCATCGTTCGAAAGGTGGTACCAGGGTCGCCCTTTCCGCCCAACATACAATAGCTTTTCCCCGACCCCGTCTGCCCATAGGCGAATACACATCCATTGTAACCTTGCAGAGCATTATTCAGAACTGCCTCGCCAAGGTCGTTATAAACCTGCGAGCACTACTACAGGGGTACGGGAAAAAAGCACTCACCTTGCTCTGATCGGCGTAATTAGCAGAGCTTCTGTCCATGCTATCGTAGCAGTGGTCGAAGGCAAAGGTCCTAGTCTGAGCTTGCTTCCCTTCACGAGCACCAGCTACTGAGGCTACGCCGGCTTCATCACTCACGACCTTACCTGAGGGAAATTTCTCAGAATCGTATTGGAGTGCCTTGAGATTCACATTGGCGACCGGACATGGTGACGGTGCTCTGAGCTCCCAGCTCGATCTCTCTTTCACTGAAGGGGCGGACCCTAACCGCGACTTTGATATTTTCTGCTTCTGCTACCATTGATACTCGAACGTTTACTGTCACTCACAATGCCTCACTATTGGTTTGCGCAACACTCGTAAGAATGAAAATGTGAAAAAAACTGACATTCATCATGAGGGTTATCTCATACCTTCCGTTGGTCCTCAGCGGAGCCTGTTGGACATAAGACACTACCGCGTTGACCTGACGTACTGACTTACTTCGCAAACCTAAGTGCCGTACGAACGGCCTTGTCGGGAAAGTTGGAGGCGTACTGAGTTCTCTTGTGGTGAACATAGTCCATCATGATGTCGTACCATTCCTTACGACGCAGAGGAACACAGTAGAAGTACAGCCTTTGCAGAGTCAATGAAAACACAAGTAGTAGCAGTGCACTCACCACGCTCCGCTGATGCCAAGGACAGCAGTGTTGACGACACCACTCGTGTTAACGTACTTAGGGCGGAGGGGATCGGCGACCTGGACTGCAGTTGAGGGGGTTCCCGCGGTCATACGATGCAAAAATGCCTAACTAGAGCCAGGCTGCATTGAATCTCCCCTCCGAATCTCGAGATGTCCAACGAGACGGTACGTGGGTAAAGCGAAGATAATTTCAGGGCGAGCGCTACTTTCATTTGGTCATTTCGTGTCCTCCATATTAGTCTTGAGATGAATACACCTCTAAGACTAGCTCCCTTTGCTTCTCGAGTAAGGGATAAGCCTGAGGGTTCCTCACCTGTGACGTTGAAGTCTCTGACTCTATCGGACCGCTCATAGGTGTTGACCTCTCCTCCTCCTCGTTATGTCACGGAACCCTCCCCCACCCCCTATGCATGTTGAAACTACGACATGGACAAGGGACTCTCATGAGCTTTTCGACTACGAGAGCCGTAGCACTGCCAAGTCCAACTTCCAGGTTGTGGGCAATGCGCGGTTCATCAGACGAAATGGTAGTAGGCCTTCGAGAAGCAGCATTTTACAAGGCCTATATTATTGCTGTGTTTTAGGGGAAGTCTCTATGGAGCCTGACAGTACCGATGTAGTGGAGCCAGCTGAGCCTACTGACTACCTCTTGAAGTGCGTCAATTTTGATACTAAGTAGTACCCTGGTCATAGCACAATCCGCTTGATAACGACCGCACCGTGGTTTATACACAGACTCGTCAGCTTCGGAAGGGCGTTTGTGGTCAGATACCTCATACAACCAGCAGAGAAGCAGCCTGAAGGGTCTCGATGGTCGGCAAAAAAGTTGTGGATGGTTATCAGAGATGTAGGCATGCCTCCTCCGAACCTATTTTGAATCTTACTACCTTGGACCTAAGATTCTCGACCACGGTATTTCTTTCTTCAGCTCGGCCCATACAGCATGAGTGAAGGTGATGTTGTGAAACTGGGCCGTTTCAAACTACGAGTTCGTCAACTATGCTGCGATGAATCAGAAGAGCCAGTAAGTCCTCGTCGACATCTCTCCGCGTCAATCTCTGCTCAGGTGAGACCCGACCTAATGGGCCCAGAATCTCAATCCTCTATGGGTACGTGTGCTCCCCCTGAAGCTGATGGGAAACCATGTCGGATCTGTCTATTAGAGGTATGTCCAAACCGCTAAAGTACCAGGTCAAACTCTACCACAGGCTAGCGGCTCTGATGATGATCCGTTGGTCGAGGCATGTTCTTGTCGGGGATCCATCCGATACGTTCATCTCGGATGCCTACGACACTGGGTAGAAGGTCGTCTTAGTCTTAACTCTGGTAGGCAATTTCATCGGTCTGCCATGTGTGACGTTTCCTATCTCGGTTCTGATCAGCAAGGACCTGCTCATACGTAGTTCTATTATTAACTCACCCGATTGGAAATTCCTTTCCTATTGTAGTTACTTATTTCGGCAACTTGCGTGTGAACTATGTCGCACTAATTATCCACTTTATGTCAATTACATGATGGGCACGTGGAGCAGCTAGTAAGCAAGGAAGAGATTCCTGACTGTACATTTTTCTTTTCGCTCTAGGTTCCTATGCCGGAGACTCGAGCACCATACATGGTCTTGGAAAACATGATGAGGGTTGATCCAATTGGTGGTGGCCAGACTGACGGTGATGCCCACTAACTGTGGTGATTGATTATCGCAGCTCTGGTAGGTAACGACAGCCAGTCATCAGTTCATGCCAGAGGCGTTTATGTTATATCACTCGCTGGCAAGAAGATGCTCCGTCTAGGACGGGGTCATGAGAGTGATGTTCGAATTGCCGATGTGAGTTCAGATCGGGACCGACTAGTGAGTTCATGGTGGCTATCAGGTATCGATATCCCGCTGGCATGCTACTGTGTCGTTCACTGAGGACGGTCGGTTTGTATTGGAAGATCACAACTCCAAATTCGGAACCCTCGTTGCTCTGCGAAGGCCGCGAGTTATTGAAGCCGCACCACCACGTGAGCTTCCTTCACCTTCTTCCTATCACAACTTGAGTACTTCGATAGTTGTCTCGTTGCCATTCTCATCAGTTTGTCGGATCATGTGATTAACTAGTCATTGTCTCAGCCGAGCCAGAAGAGGGAGTAGAAGCCCCGAAAGCCCCAGTTCTTACGGTTCAAGCGGGAAGGACTGTCTTCAGGATTAGCCGCGACGTACCACCACCGCTCATGCCTCCTACTAGGTAGTGGGAAATCTGTCGTTTTTGGTACTCATCGTGTCAGCGGCTCGTAGGCATTGTTATTGGCAAGAAAGGGTGTACGTATCATTTCGGTGTTCTCAGACCGGATACTATTACAATCCCAGAAGGAACCTCCCTCGCACATAATAACGTAGCCGTAGCGATGATAGCAGCCCAGCTTGGGAGTGACTATCGAGCAGCAGCTTTGGCTTTGCATCGACAGCAACTTCAGCAGCAGCAACAACAACAAGAAGAAGAAATGGAAAACCGAATGGATATTCAGCCTGATGACGAAGACGAGCAAAGGCAGAACGACGAGCAATAGTCATGAGCACATCTATGTTGTTAAGTTCATTTCTCGTGCTGAAGTCCAGTAGTCTGTCATCACTGTTATTGGTGACACCTTTTAACATTAGTAGTTATGATTGGTTATTTGCTGTTGCCGCGACAACTTAGTATTACATACACCGCCAGCTTTGGCGGCTTCGAAAGTAGCCTCCGAATCGGCCTGAGTTTCGGCGCTCATCCGGAGTCAACTTTTGATCATCGTCAGAGTAAGGTGGTAATGGCGTAGTCGACACCACTTAGGTATTGTCGTGTAGCTTTTGACACTTTGTTTGCAAGGGGACAATGTTGATGGTGACTACTAGCTGTAGAGGGCCTCTATGACTTCACTATAAAGTGTCATGATGGTACCTGAGAATGTGCACAAGCTCTTCTGTACCATTGAGAGTTGTTATTTGGCCGCGTCTCAGCGGAGGCATTGCCCCGCCATTGGGGTTGCTCTACTATATCGTATGAGTATGTTGTGTTATACAGTTAAGTGGCGAGTAAATTATACGATCAGCACCACGTTCCGTATTGTTACGCCGAATCTGTCTACACTGGAATTCGATCGGATGTGCCATGGTACACTTTTCACAAGCTCCGTCGCGATCTCATCCTTTGACAAACGGGAGACTAGGTTTCTCCACATCTTCTTGAATATACTGTACACGCAGCGATAGGTATACAACTGTGTCCATCAACACTTCATATTCCTCGGGGGGGATGCGTATCGTGCAACCCCCAGTGTGGCTGCTCCACTTGGTTTTTTGGAGCGCTGTCTTCGTTACGAGCTTCTTTCCCGTCATTCAGTGAGAGAGAGGAATATGTGTGCCGATGTATGCAACTCAATACGGCCCTGTTGGGGATACCAAAACTTGATTATACACCAACAACTTATGAGTAACTAATGGGATGGCATAGCTTAGCTGATACAAATGGGGACAACGGAGATACAGATGTGATGGGCTGCATACCGCAACAGTCTCAGCTGACAACAATTAACGTAATATGTTCCCATATTAGCACATATGAAGGATACTCACACATCCTGGCGTATATCGGATATGGAAAAGTTCACCGGTCCTTGTGTGGTAAAATGATCCGAGTATGACTTTCGAATGTTATCGATGACCACGGTTCACACACCACTAGTAATGGCGAATTCACGATTGCAGTCTCCATTAAAGACTCCATCGTTCCTGACAGGAACTTCCTGTCTACCTCGCACCGCCGTGTTTGGCCACTATTGAGTTTCTGTCATGACAGGATGTCTCCAATCATCGTCACGACTAAGCTGGCCGCGATGTGGGTTCAGCTGCAACGTTGTTTTCCGAGTACGTAGGCTACGTAACTTAGCCATCGGCTACAAGCTGATATGGTGGGTTGCGGGAACCCCATCGTGAAGCAATTCCCCATATAGCTAATGCGCTCCACTCAAGGACCCCTAATAAAACAACCCTGAAACGATTATCTGCATCTATGTAATTTTCGCCGCCCCAAGCTATTCGATTGTTGCAAAACATGGAGTACAACCACGAGAAGGATACTCTCGACGATAAATGCGGATGATGAGGCTTTCTGCGACGCCATGCTAGGTTCGAAAGATGGAAGACATACGTATGGCTCGTGAGATAGCTTTCGGTTGGATATTGTTTTGTACGCACTCTCATCAGTCAGTGTCGTGATAAATTCCCGAGGATCCACTGATTCTATTCCTTACCCTGGGATCCATCAATACGGGCCGAATCACTGCTCGTATAATACTTAAAGTTCTGAATGATCTGTGGAGGTTCTAGTTACATTTGAAGTCCTTGTCAGTGTTCGAATCGTTCACGCTCAGGCTTTCGACATTCGGCTCACACCTATGTGCAACCTTCGCGTTCCCATTCTCGCCTTGTGGGCGGTATCCGCTAGTAGCTTGGATGACACTATCGTATCTATCAAACGCATGAGTGACGACGTCGACATTCGTCGTCTCCCTGGAATGCTGAAGGCTGCTGGTTATATGCCGGATCAGAAGATTGCCTCTTTCCTGGCTACGGCTGAGGTCGTCACTCTTGGGTTCATTCACGCCCAAACCGTCAAGACTTCGTCCACCACCGTCGACAGCGATACTCTCTGCGATTTCGTGTCTATGGCTAGCCGCAAGCTGTCATTGAAAACGCACTGCGCCGCGGATGAGTACGGCCAGGTCGAAGAATATGATAACGACTTGCATGTGAACGATACCGATGCTAGCTTTCAGAGGCATCTCAAGTGGATGAACATGGGTGAGGTTTGGCAGCTGGCTCTACCTCATGTCAAGCGGGATGTCAAAGTGGCCGTAATTGACTCTGGCATCAATTGGGATGATGCCGACTTCGCTCCCCTGAAAACAAAACTACCTAAGAAGAGTGGGGGTGAGATTGATGGAGGGTGGAATCTCCTCACGCAGTCGTCCGACTTGACAACTGAAAGCGCGCACGGCACCAAAGTGAGCAAAATCCTGGCCGCTAAGAGTAACAACTCGGCTGGTATAGCGGGGGTCGCCCCCAATGTCATACTGGTGCCATTACAGATAGTAAATTCGGTTACGGCCCCTCTTTCGAGGACTCTCGCTGCTATGGACTTGGCCATTGATCTTGGGGTCGATATCGTATCAATGTCCTTCACATTCAAATTTACACGGATTATAGAAGGAAAGTTTGTGATGTTTGAAGCTCTCCGCTCTTTACATACCAATGGCATTATCTACGTCTCCTCATCTGTAATCGACGGTGTAATAGCTGACAACCATTTCCCTTGTAGGTATGGTGGCCCACTTGGTATCTGTGTAGCCAGTATAGAGAACGACAGAACTCATAATGTGCTCACTGGCTACTCGAACTGGGGTCAGAGAGTCGATGTCGCAGCTTACGGTAACAGAATTCTCACCGGTCGTGATAATGATGGCAATCTGACCTACTTCAGCGGCACTTCAGCCGCTGCTCCGATTGTCTCTGGCGTCGCCGCCATTCTTCTATCAATCGGTGTAGCCCCCCTTGACGTCAAGCCTTTGATAATAGGTTACGGCGATCCTGTCGTGAGCGACGCAGGCCATACTTTAAGACATCGCAATGCTGCTCTCAACGTTCTCAGAACTGTGAGGACCGCCTTACGGCATATTCAAACTCACTAGAATGTGTATTGGTGCTATAATACCAGGGGCTTTATTTCACGCCTTGCTCTATGCTCTAGTTTTCCCTTGATCCCTCGTCCACTGATCCCGTCGAAGGGATACAACGGTTTACAAGAGGAGATGAGGTTTTCTAAATACCTCACGGAGACGGGCTCTTTTTTCTACCTTCGTATCTGAGAATGATTATTTCCTGGTCACGTTGCATACGATCATTCTCTGTTCATGGTCTCGTCAACGTTCTTTTGCTCGCACAGAACATCATCTGGGGGTGTCAGCGGGGTAGTCGATCACAGTGGCAGTGAGAAAGCGGAGTATCAGAACATCGAACTTTGCTTGGGTATTCCTCGCTTCATTGCTCATGTTCAATCTGCCAATCTGTGTATTAGTCGGCGATGAGAGCGAAAATCTCTACGCTTCGCTTTGGTAGTTTTTAGCTCATTATTCGTCTTTATTTCAGTCGCTACGTGATTTTTTCATTTATTTGCCGGAGGAACTATCCTCGCAATAAATGGTCTCGTCTTGGATTCGTTGTGTTGAGTATGGAATGGAGTGTCATGTTATGGTATTTGGTGCATGGGATGAAGGGGCGGTCCACGACTGTAGTAGTATGAGATACATGCCGACAGAGAGCATGATAAATGAGTACAGCCAAATCACGAATAGCACTGGGATTTCCACTTAATTTGAATTCTGCATTAAACGGCGTTACAGGAAAGCAAAAGTGTCAGAACACGACACGCTTGTCAGCAAATGCGAACTCCAATCCTTACTATGCTAGAGCATTAGCCGACGCACCAATTATCCACGAGAGCTGGAGGTAAGTACTATGGACTCAGAAGCAAGACCATCCTACTTCCAACTTCTCGAAACAGTTTCGACAAAATTCTCCAGGTATAGCCGCTGAGGCATCCGTGACCTCGTGATGATTCCTGACTTGTAGTGCTGGAATGCCAATTAGAATGTACGTTAACGGCAACTGCGTCTTGAGCTACTTCCGCATCATACTTCTTCCATTTTCAGCCGGTATGACTTTAATATGAATCATTTGATTAGGCTGGCAGGTTCGGAGTCTCTTAGACGCTAAATCCCAGAAAGAAATTCAATCGTATGACACAAGGGAACTCACCTTGATATATTGATCCTTCGGATTTGTGATGACTGGTGTTCTACATGTTCCGTCTATGACCTTGTAGGGGTAGCTAGACTCCTTCACTATGCCTTTATTCGCCGCATAAGAATATGCCCCCCAGATTGAACCCCCGCTGCATCCTCTGATGGAAGGTGAGTTTCAATGGGGATAATATCACGCACGAAACAGGGTAACAATCGAGTGTCATCAAGTTGGCACACGGAATATATATCGTCTCACTTGTTATTGTACAGTTGACTGCAGTCAACTATCCGCTGGACGGAGAACGGGACAACTTCACGAATGGCAGACTTTATCTTGAAACGGTTCGCCAGGAACTCCGTAAATGTAATAATCAGAGGTAACCTGCAACAGCAAGTCGCAGATGTGGCCTTTTATGAAATATTCGAGTCGACTGAAGACCTATCAGTGGCTGCAATTGGGTAGCTGCCGCCACAATGATGCGAAAAAAATACTAATCTCGCACAGTGCAGGTCGCACTGGCGCCAGAGCTCCAGCAGCTTCCCAGTCCACTGCCGGGGGGAGAGCCGGCATCGGAAGGTGAGCTGACAGCTCACCATTGGCTCTCAAGGCAGTAATCTCTCTCATACTCTCCGTGAAGGCTACCTTAGCGATTTCATACTGCTCCTTCGAGTTGTATTCCTTTTTGCACCTCTAATGGGATCGGGAAATATAGTAGTGAGTCAGGCTGGATGCGGATCAGCAAACCTTCTTACTCTGTTATAAACTCCTGAAAGGTTCGCTCTATCTCCTGAGGTTGATCGGGCCGACCCGACTCTCTGACCATGCCATGGGCCATCGTTACCAGACACAGTTTACCGGTGATGCACCACATAGTAGCTTGATTGGGAAAATCAAATACCTATGCTTGTCTAAAAAGACAGATACCACTTCGCGAGCGAATATATATACCATCCAGTGGATGAAATTCACTATCGGTGAGATAGACTTGCGGTGTTCCTCGGCTCAACGTCGAGTCTCCTCAGTTCTAATATCAAGACGATACTTAGCCAAAGAACTCCCTTGCGCTTTATACACAGTCATAGAGAACGCTAAGGTTGGAGAGATCTGGGTGCGAGTTCCAAATACCCAAGTCCTTGTGATGGTAGTGATAGGAACAACTGTGGGCCACCTTGCGCTGAAGAGCCTGCCCACGTACATAGGAAAGCCGAGCAGAACAATCGGCAGAGGCTCATCCGTATGATCTCCTTGTGGTGTCATGAATCCGAGGAACTGTCCTCGTAATGAATGGTCTCGTCTCGGATTCGTATAGTTGAGTATGTAACCGAATGTCAACGTTATGGTAACTGATCCATGGGGTTGAGTGGTGGTCTAGTAGCAGCAGATAGATGCTGACAGAGACTCTCTGTCACTAACAAACTGCCAGAGAGCATCATAATTGACTACGGCGAAACCACATCCCTGCACGAAAGCTTTATCATGAATAGCACTGAGAAGTCGACTCCATTTCTATACTGCATGGAAGGCAGCAGGATCAAGTCCCAGAGCTTGTCAGCACATGGGGAGCTGGCAGTTCGGATCTGCCACATGCCAATTCTGATCATGCTAGGTTGTTAGCCGGAACACTAATTACGGCCAGGCTTCCTACTGTAGGCACTTTCGGTTCACGAGGAAGACCATTCCAGTAACCCGAAAGTTTCGGGTCGTCATTTACTCTGTTTATCCCAACAAAATACACTGCGATGCCCTCGATCACCAAACTAGACACTAGATTCTGATGTCTAGTTTGGTCTGCTGAACTGGCAGTTGCCATTGACGTCAAATTGACGGCCATAGATGCGAAACTTCCGCATGGAGAACAAGCTTGAAACTCGTTCCACCTTGGTCAAGCTGGCCGGAAACTCCTTGATATCCCACTTACGAGGAAGATTTAAAAAACTCAGTTGCCAAGGACCTCGACGCGCGACACTTGACCGCCGAGATCTGCTTGTGTGAGGTCGATCCTGTAGGTGTTCAATCTTGATAACGTATTTCGTCCTTCTACAGAGTTTCGCAGTACGAAGATTCTTCGTTGAATCGGCGGGTCATTTGACATCACCATCAGACTAACGCAAGCCGGGAGGAGGCCACCGAGACACTTCAACGTGAAGAAGACTGACTGCTCGGGGTATCGGAAGCAGCAACAGCGAGTGCCGCGTGGAAATAATAGGACTAACATAGCGGAGGATCGTACAGAAGGTATAGGAAACGACGGTGAGAGCGATATGAGCATGGTACGTCCGAGAATAAATATTAGAGATCCACTATCCTCACTGAGATCCCCACGGCACTGTCAATGAACAATGCCAGAGCGAGAGAGCGGTATGATAGCAAAATATGACAGTAGTAGTGGGGAACAAAAGAACTTGTTACAAGTTGCAGACCAGTGACAGTGCTTGAGTTTACTCGAGGCATAGGAGGCTATTCTTGGAGCCGTTGAGGGTTTGCTTATTCTCAACACTCGTGAAATAAGTGCTGCTTCGTTGATTAGATGCGAATCCGAGAACAGCAGGGCAGCCAAATGTGTCTCGCCCTACGAAATCGTACGATCCTCCAGCACACGAACAAGCACGGGATGGTGGTCCTCCGAAAGAGTTGACCGAAGAATGGTACCGATTGCCTTTTGGTACTATCTCCTTATAAAAATACACGGGCATGGAAACAAACACGATGACTTCGTGGTAGTAGTCTAGCGGCCTTTAGAGCTAACGCTTATTGATGATAATAACAATGATGGTGATTACTACTACTACTACCAACAGTGTCGAAATACGTCAACCGAGATAGGTTAGTATTGGACAGTAAAGTTATGACAAGAGACCAGATATAATGCTTAGTTACATAGTGTTACGGCGATAGAAGCCCCGCTCGAATTCTTCCAGGGTCATTTCACCGACCTGATCAGCAATATGTTCATTTCTTATCGTACCGTCATGGCCACCTACCCCGATGACATCACCACTAAGTTTGGGGTAGTCGTAGGTCTTCTTCTCGATACCACCGACCATCACGCCCCTCTTCTGGGTAGGTCTCGCCCGAGTTGTGATAAAGGGGCTAGCGTAACTAATGTGATGAACACGTTGAGAAAATGGCATGAGCAACGTATGTAATCTTGCAAACGAGTACATACCACACTTAGCCGAAATTCAGACGACGAAGCCAAGTATGTTGATTAGTGTTGTTACTCAAGAAAGCTTCCCCCTGGTGTAGTGGTGGTGGCTGTTCGACCAGAACTACCCGTAATACTGCCTGTACAGTTAGTAGCCAACCAAGGGTAGCTCCTACCTAGAAGTACTCTTATCTGAATGACAATACATGACAGTCACGACACACTGGACCAGCTAGTCTCGAGAGGGCAGCAGGAGGAGAAATACTACGATTCGCAACTGAGCAAAGTCCCAAGGCCTGAGTTCGCCCTCTCAGAATTTTCATGTTCAGTTCTCAAGACGTTCTGTGTCTTGTTATAACACTATTACGGCATTCGACTGCGCAGAATTTTTTTAATCTTTTTTGAGTAGTGAGATATTCGTTCGCATTGATGGGCATCGCAGATCTACCGGCAGTGTCGAGAGCTTCCACGACGAGCTCGTGATGAGACGAACGGTCGTTGATAACATTCCCAAGATCTCAATTGAGATTCGATCGTATTTTATTGTTGATGAGTTATGACTATAATACCTTAGCACGATCGAGATCCTTCTTGCTAAGGCCAGTACATACCAAACGCCCATGCCTATATACATGCTGCCCTGCAAGGCGTCGCTTATCCGCCAATTTCGCCATCGACCGGAGAATCTCTCTCGTCTCCAACTGTCCCTGCGACCTCCCCTAAGACAACACAGATGCCATCAAGCCCTGGCTTTTGACTTCTTGGTTCAGCTGAAACCAGAAATTTCATCGAGATTGGGAAATGACTTTTACACCATCATGAAGATCTTCTCGAAGTGTACGTCCCAAAATTTCATCGCTGCAAATTTTTTTCCGAAAAAAAAATTTTGGAATATCCAGTCGGCAATTATTACCTCCTTATTGCAGTGCCGGGGCGCTCGGTCCTGTGAACGAGTGGAAGTGTTTCGTTCGGAATTCATGATGGACGCCGAACGTGCCGACTGTGAGACATTCGAATTCCTTAGACCACCCGTGACTGAACCGCACTTACCTTGAAGAAAGAAGGCTCAGCGTGCCTCTGTACAGTGGTATTAGATCGTCTAGGAAAATTGGAAATTGGTGGTACGTAAACACTCGTATGGGCAGAAGTCTTAGGGCCGTCAAACGTCACCTGAATAGCTACGACTGCCTATGTATTCCTCTACTGCCTTATTACACTCCTAAGCACTTGAGGGCCCTTCACAGGAGCTACCGCTTGCAAGCTTTGTCGATGTCGAACGCGGCGCGACAAGGGAGCTCGTGAAGTGTTGACAGGATGGTAGGCGTTAGGAGATCCGTATAGAGCCGATCGACTGCTACCACCGCAGATGAATCTCGAAAACCATCGGCCAAAACGAGACCGAGTGTCACTAGTTTGGTGGTGGGTTGGTCCTGTCGCGATGTCGCGAACAGTGATCATGTTACAGTGCTCATTGAGATAGTCCGAGGGCACTGTTGAAGACATCATTTGAAGCGAACAGGGAGGGGGAGCGCTGGACCTACGAGACGGTTACTGATCTCATTATGTTCTTGTAATACACAATGAACGTATTAAGTTCAGTGGTTTTGCCTACTACGGCGTTTTCTGCTACTATCGGACGATTAGAAACTCGCCAGTCCAACGACCATTTTGTTGAGCCCGTTATGATAGCGATTCGGCGACTTACCTGTGCGGTCCCCTCCGGGAAAATGATGGTCTCTCAATCATCTTGGATGCCAAGGAGCAAGAGAGAGTCAACTTGTGCAGAAGGGGAAAACAATCTTGCACATCTTGCGTTTCCTCAACGCACTTAGTCATGACGCGACAACTACGACCAACGCACGATCAATGATTTCCGCGGTCGACGATTGGTTATGAACTCACCCCAGTTGGGATTCCGCACTTTCTGACGGCCCCTGTAACATTTCTCTGAGACGGCCACACTCCGACCTGACCAGGTTACTAGTAGTACCCTGGATGCTGCGGATTCCCCATCGATCGGACCGCACAAGTTAGGCCTGTGCTTATGCTGTTAAATCCATTCCAATATACCCCGTAGTATCTTCTTACCTACCCCATGTCCAACGGAGAGACCAAGCCCCTCAACCCCCAGGCAGACCTCGCCCCTCCCGCCCCTATGGCTGGAGTGTACTTCGAGCACGACCCTGCAACGGTGAAATGCCCTTTCTGCCAGTACACTGGTCCGACCAAGGTTGACCATAAGATCAGCGCTGGTGAGTCTACGCCTGCTGTTATCACCACTCCGTTCATCCCCCTACAGGTTCGTGGATATGTGTTGCCATACTGGCCATCATCTTCTTCCCTCTGGCCTGGTTACCCTGTTGCTGCAAAGACTGCCAACAGGCTGACCATAAGTGCACCCATTGCAACGCCAAGGTCGGCGAGAAAGTATTCATCACCAGTTGATAAAACAACCTGTGCCCACGACTGTGTGATTCCCATGCCTCTTCTGTGCTGATGATGGTACTCAGTCTCGCTCTTTGTTCTGCATGGGGTGGTAACCACCGCTGCTTGATCGGTTTCAGCCGTATTTTCCCAAGCCCCCAATGTCTGCTGACGAAGGCAAGCCTTTCATCCAGTCACAGACGTACAACGCTACTGCCCCCCAGCCCGCAGTGGCCCCGACCGCCCCAGTGCCTATGGCCAACATGTTCTTCTCCGACGATCCAACGACTATCACTTGTCCTTATTGCAAGGCTACTACTACCACTAACGTCGAGCATAAGGTCAGCGCTGGTAGGCTAAGACTTGTGTGACCACGGCTAGCTTAGCTAAAGTGGCTTCGATCAGGTTCATGGATCTGCGTCGCTATTCTCGCCCTAGTGTGCTTCCCTCTTGCCTGGTTGCCTTGCTGCTGTGATTCATGTCAGCAGGCGGACCATTCATGCGCCAATTGCAATCGCAAGGTCGGTGAGAAAGTGTTCATCACTTCTTAGATCGCTCCGCTCGTTGTGCCCGAGGCCGTATCAGATCACTTGTGAGTCACCGGCATGATAGTTGTTGTCCATTCCGTTGCGTATTGAGTTCGAGGGAAGCCTTGGTGTATTTATCGATCACGCAAGACGGTCCTTATTTCCTGGTCCATGACAACCTCAGACTGGTATGGTACCGTACCCTCCTAATCTCGGTTATTCACACGCTCATGCAATGTTGAGCATCGTTTCCTTTGAGGGGAGTCGTCCCTAAGTCGACCGTGGTAATTTTCTATAGTCGATTGGTCAGGTTCGTGTGTATGTTCTCTTCGATTCTACTTCTCTCTATGTTCTCGGTATTTCGAACTCCCCTTTTTCTGTCACAGGTTTCGAGAAGCTGACCATGTTAACACAGCCTTAGTTGACCAGACAGCCTACATCACATGTTAGTCATGTGTCTATAAACAATGTCATTCTTGCATAGGCTTGCGAGCTTCGCTGTGTTGTCACTTGTGGGCGGTACAGTTGATGGGGAAAGTCCTCCTCTGAATTGGTCTCTTTAGTCCGCTGAATTCGGTTGCCATAATGGAACCTACAGAAACACAACCAGCTCCCACTAACGCGTCCAAAGGACGGTATAAAAGGAGATCAAAAAGACGACAACAGAGTCAACAATTGTCAGCTAACGCACAGGGGGACTTACCGCACGAGGAGGAGGGAGGCGACGACGACGAAGGTTCAGCCGTGGATCCCCTCACACCCAATCCTTGGCAGGAAATAGTCGACGAACCTGAAGCCGCTTTGCCAGGGCGAGAGAAACAAAACGAAATTGGCGCGACCGCTGAGGTTGAGGATCCCATTAGCGTTGAGGCGAACGGTGACGATCAGTCTAGTGCAGCTGAGCCAAAGGGCCTGCGGGTCCAAATCGAGGGCTTGGTACCGCAAGATTTCAATCCGAATAGCGATGATGAAGTAATCGAGATTGCAGATGATGCTCGAGATCGCGCTGTGACTGGCTCGGATACGGAGGAGACCAGGCTCTTGGTCGGCACTGACGACAGTTATGGGGCGACCAAAGAGGATGTCTTCCCAAGAACGGACCCGGGGCATGAACCTTTTGACCTTCATTGCCCGGTGTGTGGACATTCGGGACCGACAGTTGTCACGCACGAACGTTCATGCGGTAAGTTGACGCCGTTTTCTTTACCATGCAAGAGCTTGTGTAGGTACATATATTTGCATGGCGATTCTGTTGGTGCTGTTCTTCCCAGTATCTCTGCTACCTCTATGTTGTGATAGCTGCCAAGAGGCGACTCATCGGTGTGAGAATTGCGAGGCTTTTGTTGGTGAACAAGTGTTCATCACGAAATAGTCGACGCTTTGTCGTATCACGACATGCATGCAATCCACCACATTTGTTGTTATCAACAACAGCTTTGGGAGCTCTTGCGTTAACTCCAACTGTTCATCAGTTTTTAAAGTCAACTCCGACTCCTCTACTGTCACCCTATGGCCTCTAAGGTTGAGCTCCCCAATCTGCCTGGCTACCAACCTAAGGTAGGCTCTGCTGATCGCCAGCTTGAGTTTTCATGATCGGGGTCTTCCTATTACTAATGTAGCCGATTCCTGGGGAAATGTGTCGCTCTTGTGAGCTGTATCGTCATGGTTGAACCTCCCTGTAATCTGGGTTCAGGTGGACCGAGTGAATCATCACGTCCACCAGTCATGGGGCTTCGATAACGGTCAGCGTATCGAGAAGAGCATCTTCAATAGAGAGAGGCCGAAGCTGGTCGAAGTGAGCACCTCAGCCTTATGAACGTCAGACATCCCGACCGATCAGGTCCCGAGGGCCCCCGAGGGCTGGCGGGATGGCGAGGCATTGCCCAAGTCTACCACACATGACGTCTATATCGCTCCCAATGGGGTACCGGACACCGAGCAGCTCCCGGCTTGGGACGCTCTGGATCGACATGTCCTGAGGTGGGTCTTGTGAAGTGAGCCGAAATAGAATGTGTTGTGATGCAGGTTCTTCGGATACTATAAGGAAGCCGTTGTGGAGTCCAACTTGGAGAACTATCGCATCAGACCCTGCATCCTCTACTACTACCTCGGTACGTTCACTGGTCGGTGCATGAATCGGGTATGTCGAGGTGTTCTCAGAGGATGACACTATGCACGCGAGTGAGCCCCGACAAGATAACAGTGGTCTCAGCCAGGGCATGCTCCTCAAACGCCACAGGTGGCGTCCAACTGGTCTATGCAACTACGACTCGAACGATTTTCTTGTAGAATTCCGACGAGTAACGGCAACGGCTTCATCGTAGCTCAAGATTTGGTAAGGATAGAATCTCGTTGTCGCTTCGGACGTTCTATTCAGTGCGAGAAAATGTGCACTTCATATGCTGTCACAAATTTTGGGAGATTATTTCTCTTCTATAGTTAGTGAAGAACCTCTTGAGCTCAGTTGAGGGAAGCGAATATTTGTTCCTCTAGCATTGGTTGTTGCTTCTCCTCAGAAAGTCGGCGAAACCATCAACATCTACGGTAAGGTCATACAAATCACAGCAGTAGATGCGTTCACTCGGAGTTACTATGAAAATGTAACTCGTGCAGCTGAGCTACGCATTTGAGATAGCACCATATCAGGTCTTGAAGACTGAGCAGGCTCCCAACACGGAAATACCAGATGATTACTTCGCGCTCGTCAAGAAGGAGGCAATGGTCACCGAAACGGCCATGCCCCGTAGGATCCCTAATAATGCTGCTCATAGGCATTCATCTTGGGTAGGCACTTATGAGAAGATCTATAGGGAGGCTATGCTGGGCGGGGTCCTGCCCAATGATCGATTGCAGCAGTTTTTAGAGAACGACCGCAAGGTACGTTCAGTCAGTCGCTGTTGATGTAGCTGTTAATCTGGGACAGGTGTGCCGCTTCTATGCCGTTATGGATGACCTCAAGACTGAACAGTACGAGAGGAGACCGTTCACCATCTTCTACTTCCTCAGTGATGATACCATTGAAATTAGAGAACAGTACCACTCCGATCCGAACCTATTCGAAACACTATCCCGTGCCGATCTGTAGATATCCTCTTAATTGTGGCCGAGACAGTTTCCCCGTATTCTTCAAGCGCGGCCGTGTTGCCAAAGGTAGCCTCTGTCCTCAACAGACCCATACGGCAATTCTTCGCTCAGGTGGCGTACCGGTTCATGGTCCTTGTGACCCTGTCCCCCCCTCGGGCTGCTTCTATAAGGTTCAGGACCTCTATGTTGGACAGACCATACGCCTGGTATCCTTAGGGTGACCGATTCACCAAGTCGATGAAACTGTTCTAGGTCAATAACGATCTGTTCATATACGACGCGGATGCCTTCACGCGGGAGTACTTCAAAAGCATCGGAAGTACCGCCAGGAAGTCTCGTCATCGGTTCCAGGAGTTTCCTCGTCAGTTGAGCTCGCTCCGAAGCGAGACGTCCGACTGCCAGAAAAGACCGTCCCTCGTCCACCGACTCCGCCATACACTGGATACGGATCATGGGACGACTCCATGGGATCGGTCTTCAGCCTTGTGCCCAAGGTCCCTAGGAAGGACATGCATAAGCTCCTCATCAACGACGGTTCGATCCCTGGCGATGACATTTTTACTGTTCATGTTTGTATTACAGGTAAAGTGCTGCGGTTCTCGGCGAAGTTCTCTAACCCCGAGCCTGAAGACGTGAGTCGAAGGTAAGGCTTGGCCACAGCTCGGTCGTGATCCCACTGATTAGGTTCGTATTCAATTATCAACTATGTGACGACACTCTGTCCATCCACGAGCCCCCGCAGAGAAATCTCGGTATCGTTACAGGGAAATTCTTGGAGAATGGAACCTACCTCAACGAGACGACAGGTAGGGACTGAGCTCGCACGGTCGGGATCCTTTGGCACATGGTCAGGTCGCTTGATGAGCCCTCTTGACCTGATACCAGGGAAAACTGTGATAGTGTTCAATCACAGCTTCATCATGACCGGTTGTGATGAGTGAGGCTGATCTCCCACACTGGTTGGATGGTAGTTGTCTCGGCAGTTACACCCGCAAGTACTTCGCCAAGGCTCACCCCGATGTCCAGCTCGTCGTCGAGGACGAGGATCGCGCGGTGGTCCCTGATCAGGAGTAACGTCACGGTCTTTGAGTTACCATCATGGATTTGGCCTCAGGTCTGATCTCAGCACTATCATTCCCAAGTTGCGTGAGAATCTGCTGCAACAATTCCCACGCGTACGGGATATCTTCCGGCGCATCGACAAGGACCACAACGGCGTCATCACATGTGAGGCGATGAGAAGGGTGACAAAGCGCGAGGCTTGTGATTGTTACTTCAGTGGACGAAGTTAGAGAGGTGCTCGCGAATCATGGCTTCCAACTCAACCAGACTGACGCGACCGCCATTTTGAGGGCCTTTGATACCAACAAGGATGGCCACATCTCGTAGGCTGCTGGTGCTGCTCATCTCTCCGAAGTCACCGATCGAATCTTAGCTACAACGAGTTCTGTGATGCTGTACTGGAACCTGACTATAAGGGTTATGCAGGGGAGCCTCAACCGAGGAAACCATCTTTGCTCAAAGGAGATAAGGACTATGCCGCAGCAGCCGCCTGCAGGGTAGGTCGAACATATGCTGTAAATTTTGTAACTCCTATTGTCGTCAGTCGGTTGAGGCCGCGGAGACCGCCAAGATCCGTCGTGCCGTCCGAGAGGTCGGGGATGTCTTCTACAAACATCCGACGATGTCCCACCGACTTATCAAAGAACTTTGCAGTAAATCAGCAACGTGAGCGTCTCGAGGCAGCGGATGTATGTCAGGAGTGTCGGACAACCAGAAGACTGATACCACTCAAATTCGACTCGCCTTACTCCGCTTCGGTTTTCCCTTCGATCAAGAAGAGATTGATCGCTGTGTGTGGTGAGTTCGCGTGTGTGATCCCTCGGTTGGCTGAAAATTCTCCTCAGCTTCGTGATGACTCCCGAGAGCGATGAACCCGTTGATCTCACGCAAGTGCCGTTCGTTGAGTTCACCAAGGCCATCGTCGCTACCTATCATGACCACATTACTACCCGATAGGTGAGGTCGATCTAGCTTCATCAGTCCCCACTATCTCAGCAGCCTTTCAGGTGCGTTCGCGGTGGCAACATCAACGGGCGCGGCCGTTCAAGGTGTAACCCGCGTCGATCTGCTGTCACACTGCATCGACATTGTTCGAATCATGTTCGTTGTCACGACTATGTCGGTTGCGTTGTTGAGTAGCGCCGAACCTACCCTTGACAAGACTCTCAGGTTGGCATTCCTGACTTACATGAGGCACACATCCTATCCTATAAATACTTAAAAAATGGCAGCACTCAAGAAGATGTAACACACTGTGGTTCATTTTTCGAGTGTGGTTCCTATACAATACATCTCTACAACTGCTTCGTATTGGCATGTGCCCTCCCGTCTTCATGAAAAGGCGGGAGCCGTTAGGATTGTCCACTACTTATGGTGTTACACAGTCGACCTGCGAATAAACGAGTTTGAGACTTCGGCACTGATTGTGGCTGGGCTGGTTGAAGAAATACAGGAATTACTTCTACCGTCCAGGTTTATTCAGACGACTCTGCCCTGTGCGATTCTCGATTCGGGACGAATTCACGATTTTCACACGTCAACTCGGTTAGCTGATGTCGTAGGTTAGTAGACAACACTGATGAGGACTATGCTACGGAAGCATGCTGGTGGTCGACTTCGGGTTTCGTGACGTCATTATTTATCAAGCTCCCTATGCGACACTCGTCGCTCTATCAGCAACTCATCCCACTCTACTCGAAAACAACACTCATGAGATGTCCTCAACGTGGCTGCATTCATGTATGAGTCTGTCAACTGCACACCATCACTCTCGACGACGAACCCGTGGAGGCACCTATTGAATATCCGGTCATCGAAATATCATTCTGCGACACCCACTGAGGTAGCGTGATATCTCTTGAGTTGTCGCAACTGACGAGCCGAAACTGTATCGGGCGACATGTCGTTATCAGAATCCAACACTCGTGAGACTTCCCCAAGCAGTTGATCAGCGCGGCTCTTCAGTTTCCTCCCAAACTGGGAGACGCTACTCCAGACCCAACCTGTTAACAAGAGATCATGATGCTCTCCCACGATGGACGGCCCACCAGCATTCTCCTTCGCTTCGTCTAGCCACTCCTGCCACAGTACCGCATGTCCCTCCTAAGACGCGTCACTGCTCACCGGGAGCTTTTCACGGCTTAGTACAGATCCTCGACGTTGGCGTTTCACATTATCCACCTCAATTCCACCCATGGACATGCTGCGATGCAAAGACCTCTTCTCACCGACTGTGTCATGTAGCCTTCAGGAAGAAGGAGACTATTCATTCGGAGGAGCTGAATGCTCACATGCCACTATGAGCTGTCCGTCGCCGTCGTCTGTGCACCATGTCGACTTCCATTCTAGGAGGATCCACTTCACCGAAATCCTTCGCTTGCCGACCCGAGGCCTCCTCCGTTTGTGGCAAACTGCAATGACCAGTGTTGGAGAATATGCGCAGAGTCAACTTCATGTATTGGTGACGGTACGAAAATTTAGAGAAATTGTTGTTCGGACCAACACATTTCTATCCGACTTCATATCGGAATTACATAATCAGTGAGGAAACTCCTGAACTCAGCCGAGGAAAGCGACCATATATTTCAACACTAGCAATAACTAACCGACTCTGGGAATGATGGAGTGTTGCTCCGGTTCTCTCTTTTCCTTCTCGGTGTACTCTGCCACGATCGATGGAGGGCAGCCTCATACACCCGAGCCTCAAAGTCTGTGGGTGATTGCATCACAGGACTCCTCCTAGATCATCTAACCTCTTATCGTCTCACGAGGAGCCTTCAGGCCTCCTCCCCCTGACGCTGTTACTTCATAAGGGAAGTCCTTCATATAGAGGAGTTCACGACAAATCATAGCGTTTCCCTCACATTGCTGTCCAGAGAGGCTCGAGCATCGACTGTAGACCGTCTCGGACGGCTCTCATAGAATGCATGCTAATGACAATCACGAGTTGTGGCCTTCCGATGAGAAGCTCCCTACTGGACACTCCGATTCAAGTCGATGTCGATATCGCCGGAGTTTCTCTTGGAGCTCCGACGGGGGCATTCGTAGTATAAATTTTCCTACAGCGACTTCCGCAACTCTACCACATTTCCGGAGGTCCTATCTGCCAGGAATAGTGCTCAGTTCGTGATGTCAACAGGATCTGCCTCAGCTACCCTCACCCCTAGTTAGCAACTCGAGAGGTAGTCGAGTCAGCGGCATCACCCAGCAGTCAGCAGGAAGATGTATTCACCTCAGAACTAACACTACATCAATGCTTTAGAAAGATCTAGAAAACTGGCTGAAACTCTCGGCAGTCCGAGGACAGACCAGTGTGCAGAATGGTGGCCTGGATAAGCAACCTAAGACGGCTGAGATGGGTGACCTCAGGCACTTGAGCCCGATGTCTCCCATTGAGCAAAGCTGTGTCAGAATATCACTCAGCATCCGGTTCCACTCATCATGCTTACCGACGACATGCTCTATGCTCTCACGTTGTCTCCAGTGACCAGTCGTCTGCCCCTGAACACCACAGGACTACTGTTGTGTCCAGTACGGTAGTGGTAGTGGTCAACCGCCAGTGCTGTACTACTGTGACAGTAGTGTTACTAGCAACCTACTCAACCAGGGATAATAGGCCTCTGCTGAAGTAACATACCCCTCCCCCTTTCCTCATCAACAGTCGATGATGATGATGATCGAACCGTTGTCACAGGTTCACTCGACATTGGGCATAACATGCTGTAGCGAGGAGAGTGCTGATGCCCTGCATTGACAGACTCAGTGCTTTAAAGGGAGTGAGAAGAAACTGGACAGTAGGAAGTATCACTCTGTTATGGATATCTTGGGGTCAACCCGTCTAAGCTCGCCTTGGTTCACATTATCTACAGCGGTCCTGTATTGATAGGGCTTGAACCCTAGCAGTGTAGTTTGGAGGATCTGCATCACATCACCGTGTGTGACCAATACAAGTGCCTTACTGCCAGTCTGAGGAGCAAAAGAAACATACAACGTTTACTACGACGACTATCTGGTCCAGAAATACGACTGGATATGCCGTGCTCCTAAATCAAACTGTCCCCATCACCAGCCTTCTTCCGACTACCCGTATCACTACCATCACTATTCTTGCTACGTCCACTGATACAACCGTGACTACTTCCTCTATCGCCTATAGCTACTCCTACTACCACGACAATTTCCTCACTGCGTTCACCATTACTACTACCACTACTCTCACTATTATCATCGATACTAATTCAACCCTAAATCCATGTATCACCTTTATGTGTTCCTTCAAGACAGCCAGACTCCTAGCAGCGACACTATCAGGTTCCTCTGCATTGAAGTCCTCGAGGCTCTCATGATGGGCATCCCTCTGCCACACCTTCGCATAGGATCCATCCGAGGTCATGTCAATACTTCCAAAGAATCTCTCTCGCAATCTAGTGTCGAACTGTATCTTGTCTTTAGGGAACCCCACAACACTGGCAAAGACCTCAGCCGTTTCCCTGGTACGCAGGAAATCTGATGACACTATTTCCATCTGATAAACAACAGAGCAAAAATGACGATAAGTTTGTGCCCTCCTCCCTACCTCCATCGAGGCACCCTTGTATTGACTGAGGAAAGCCCTAGCAGAAGCCTTGACCTGTTCCCGCCCAGCGCCCGTCAGGCCATAGGCCTTACAGCCGACCTCGGGATTGCTGACGATCAAGTTAGCCACGTTAGCTTCTGACTGGCCGTGTCGGATGAGGAAGATAGGAGGAATGGGTGGTGTGGTATCAGGCATTGAAAAATTGCACACTGCGTCGTGACCACCCAGAACTTGACAGGAGACTGAATGTGGTGGAACATACATCCCTCCACATATTCTTAGCATATCCAGTTTTTCGACTCGTACACAGCCACCACAACGAGTATCATCTTGCGGCTCAGGGAGGTATGCACTTATGCTTTACCTCATATGACCTCCAAGTTTCAGGGCCTAACTCTTCATGACAAAGTGACCAAAGAGGGATGGCAACCTCATCGGAACCGAGCATTGGAAAGAGGAGGTGACCGAAAGGAGAAGACTTTTCAGGTTAGAAGCCCGAGCAGCTAAGAAGAGAGCGAGGGACCGCTTCTATGCGTCCCTCCAAGACTTTTCCAAGTGCATCCGACCGCCAAAGAGTAAGTCAGCAGCAGCGATACTGAATGGCGACCCAAGCACCAATCAAGCAGCCCATCTGCTGGAGAAGCTATTCCCTCGGGACCCTAGGCGGTCCCAGGGGATGGCCCAGGTTCGCGTCGGTGTAGGTCCGGCAGATCGCATCCCAGCCGTGACGGAACAGGAGGTCTTAGAAGCCATCGGCCGTCTGAAGATCTCTGCCCCTGGGAGCGACGGCGTCAATGCTGAAGTCCTCAAGAAGACGGCGCCCGAGCTGGCGGCCAAATGGGCCACGGCCTTCACTGACGTCCTTAGGTCCGGCGAGTTTCCTGCCGAATGGAAGGAGGGCAAATGCATTGCCCTGGCCAAGCCCGGCCGCGACATCTTTCAGGCCTCGGGCTGGCGCCCGATCGTACTCCTTAGGTGTGCCTCGAAGCTGCTGGAGTCGGTGATAGCCGAAAGGCTCATCTACGGCCTAGGAGAGAAGTTCCGAGTGCCAGAGATCCACGGCTTCTGCCGAGGCCGAAGCTGCGACACGGCGCTGAAGAGGATCGTCGACGCCTACCGAGCTGGGTGTGGGAGGAAGGGTCACCAGACCCTCCTCCTCACACTGGACGAGTCCAATGCCTTTAATTCAGTAAAGCATTCGTTTCTCGTCCAACAGCTCTCAGGCCTAGGCGTGGCTCCCTATCTCTGCACCGTGATAAAGTCCTGGCTCTCCGGGCAACACGTCCAGCTGGAGTTTGGAGCTGACCAAGCGACCATCTCGCTAGAGAGAGGGGTCCCCCAAGGAAGCATCTTGGGACCCCTCCTCTACGCCACCTCCACCCTATCTTTGGCGTCGCTGCTCCGGCCCATCCCTGGCCTAACCTCGACGTTCTATGCCGATGATAAGACCTTGGTCCTGACGACCAAGGGCGTCCGAGAGTTTAGGGAGCGATGGCTGCAGATCGAGACTCGGATCTCGGACTGGTCAAGAGCCTCCGGGCTCAGCCTCAACCCCAGTAAGTGTTATTACCTCTCGCCTAGGAAGCTTCAGGTATCAGCACTAATGATCGACGGTAAGGCCATCGGCCGGGCCAAGGTCGTCACCATCCTAGGCCTGGCAGTGGACCAGCGACTGCTCTTCAGGGAGCACATCAAGCGAAAGACGGCCCAAGCTCGCTCCCGCCTAGGGCGATTACACGCCCTGGGTTGGGAACGGGCTGGGCTCGACACCAAGCGGATACTGAAGACCTACCACCTGGCCGTGCTGCCCTTCCTTGGGCACGCGGTCAGCGTCTGGGCGGAGGCACTGGAGAACCCGAATCTGGCCAAGTGTAGAGATTGTCCCTGCTTTATAATTATCTGTCTCCGAATTTTGTGTTAGCTGTGTCATTTTAGCGTGACGCTAGATCACGTACCTATAAGGTTTTAGCTATGTAAGTTGTATTCATAAAACCTACTACTTCTATCCACTACAAGTATACTTGGGTTCGGTTTAATTCACTACAATGGTACCCGATGCAGTGAATACCCCGGTTCCGACAACTCCGGTTTATGCTGATCTTCCAAATCTTCGCGATGTTGCGAGTGATGCTTTACATCGACTTGCGGTGCTTCTCGGTGTTCCCGAGGATAGTGTCCGGTTTCTAAAGTCTGTTGACTTCGAGGAAGCTGAGAGGTCTATGAGTTTAGCTGACAGGTTACTGTTTCGTCAGCTGGTTGAGCAGGCAGGTGTAAATCCCGTGCCCGTTACTCAGGCTACTTCAGAAGGTCATTCAGATGGACGATCTTATATATCTGACTACCTGCGTGAAGCTGTTGTCACTGATAGGAGTGGAACTGATACTAAGAGAATATCGGCTACTGCTCAGTTACCTATTCCGGATGGCATAAAATATGCTGGTGAAGATGATATTAGACCTGTATCGGCTTGGGTGAGATCGTTTTCACAAGTAGTGCGTATCTATCGTTTGGATGCTGATACCTGTTGGTCTTTCCTTATCCGTGCTGTTGATGCTAGTGTTTTATCTGATATCTTCGACTTTCTGGAGGAATCGTCGGCTTTGGGTCTTGGTACTGTTACTAGATTATCTATGACTGAGAGGTTTTTGGGTGATAAGTACCGTATTACTGATGATCCAGTTCGTTGGAGAGAACGTTTTGATAGTGTTAAGCAAGGTCCTAGTGAGAGAGTTACCACTTATTATAAGCGTGTGAAGAAGATGGTTAGCGCTGGTAGATGTATCGACGTTAATCTTAGTGAGTCAGAAGTCCTAAAACGTTTTATTGAAGGCCTGAGAGCTGACTACAAGAAGGTGGTAAATCAAACCTATGCTCATTATCGCTCTCTAGAGATCCTTGCGAGAGATTTAAGTTATTGGGAGGATCGTAACTACGGAATACGTATGGATCAGACTGAGAAGAGCAATGATAAGGTTAAGACTGTTGACCAGAATGTTCCGGAGTCAGTCCTATCGATATCTACTACTACTGGTACTGAAGTGGATGCTACTCCATCGAAGGATACCAGACAGTGTTATTTTTGTCATAAGTTTGGTCATCTTAAACGGAATTGTCCTGCACGCTATCAATGGCTTGCTCGAAAAGGTTTAGTTCGAGAGTCAAGTGGTGAGGTTCCCAAGGCTACTACAACCCCTATTGTTCAAACTGAAGCTCTCCCAGTGTCCACGGTTGAATCGACTTCTAAGGTCCAGGCATCTCCCCCTGTGGTACAGAGTATTTCCCCTAAGATGGTTAGTGCCCCTACTTATGAAAAGGTTGCTATGGTTAGAGATGTTGACGATGATGAAATCTCTCGTTTGGATGGTGGTGTTTTGCATGACCCTGTTGTAAGTATCATCCTTAGGCAAGATATGTCTAAGGACAGTACTGTACGGAGTCCGGGTGCTCGTGTTAAAGCTTTAATCGATTCGGGTGCTCGTGGTTTTGTTTATATGTCGCGCCGAATGTTCTTAGCGTTGGCCTCAGAGGGTATTCTGAGGAGAACTCTTACTGGTGCTACAGGTGTATCTTTTGGTAATGGACACTCTGTTGAAGTTGATGGCCAGTGTGAGGTCGATATTTGCTCCGCTGCTGGTGATCTGCTTGTTTCCAGTAGCTGTAAGGTGGTTGATGGACTTACTCCTGATGTAATATTCGGAAATGCTTTGTTGAGAAGATGCTCAACCCTTGTGGACAGTCTGCTCGAGTTTTATCGTTCTGTTGTTGTTGACGCTGACTCTAAGGTGAATGTACTTTCTGAGGTCGATACTGTGAAAGCGATCTCGTCGACGTCTTCGATTGAATGTCGTGAGGATGGTAGATATGTTGCACACTGTCAAATATTGGAGAATGCGTTGATGCAGCCTTTTTGTGAAGCTATCCGTCGTCGTCCTAGGTCCCGTCAGATTGCTATCTATCGACGGTTGAAGATTGCCTGTGGTGAAGGAAAGATGCGTGAGGTTGGTCCAGACCAGATCAATCATGTGAACGAGGTAGTTCTTGTTGACAAGAAGCCTGGTGAACCTCTAGGGAACGTTGAGCACATGACTGATCCTGTGATACGGAAGAGATTCCGGGTCACAGTTGACTGCCGGAGGCTGAACTCTATGAAACTTGCTATGGTCCCTGGTAGTGATGCTCATCAGCAACGATACTGGTGGGCTAATGATCGTGATGTCTCAGACACGGTTCCATCATCCTTCACTACACAAAGCCAGCAGAATGCTCTGAGTATTCTGTTGAGCTGGCCACTCTCATATCGAAAGGTTTATTTTAAGGTTGATCTAGAGGATGCTTTTTCTAGTGTACTCCTACCCGAAGGAATGTTATCTTACTTTACGGTAAGAGCTTATGATGGAGAGGGTAACTTGCACTACTTTCAACCTCTATGTTTGGTTCAAGGGTGGCGTTACTCTCCAATTATATTTACCAGATGTATGGATCATTATTTACGTGAAGTGAGAAGTGAAGCTGCTCGATTAGATCTTGACTTCAAGATCGAACATTTTCAGGATGATGTCCTGGGAGGGGCATCATGTAAGGAGGATGCTGTTTCCGGTAGAAGTTTGGTTACTTCGGTTGGTCGGCGACATCATTTTATAGTCAGTGAAGAGAAGAGTGAGATTGGAGTAAGGGTTACTTTCTGTGGTCTTATATGCCAAGGTTTGGAAGTATCCCCGGTCGTTAAGGATGCTGCCGGTCTCTCTGAATCTGCTGTTGCTCGGAGTCTGAAGGAGTATGATGCTCTGATAGATGATGAGGCAAAGCGCAAATGGATTCGTTCATGGGCGGGTCGATTTCAATGGTTGAGGAGATGGTTGCCGTACGGTTCTCACGGTGTTCTCCATAAATTGCATAAGTTGACTTCTTCGCCATCATCTATAGCAATTGAACATGTGACCAAGCTTTGTCGTAATTATTTTTCTGGTCTTCTCTCTCTATATGTTGTTGGAGGATCTACCAATACACCAATCCTCGGTAGTTGTCTCATCGTTGATACGAATAAGGAAGCGTGGTCGTGTATGCTGCTGCAAATATTCAGTGTTCCTAAGGACGAGGTTGGAGAGATTGGCCAAGACGGTCCATGGTGGTTGAGCGAATTGGATGATCTTACTAAGGAGGTATGTCATGGTTTGGGTTTGCTCTTACCTTACGATCGTGATGCTGTAATGCTACCATTAGCAGTTGATGGATGTATTTTAACCCCCTCGGAGATTAAGCGATCCTCTACTGTTAAGGAGAGACGTGGTATGATTCGTGCTGTAACCCGAAATTTGGCATTGATCACCACCCCTCTGGCTGTCGTTTGTGACAACAAGAATTCTTCAGCATGGTGGAATGAGATAGAGCTTGACTATGCTGATTCAGAGGAAGAGTATCGTGGTTTGTTATTATATCAAAGGACGGTTTGGGTAACTCTTTGGAGTAGTCGACAAGGTTGTGTCTCTTATATTGACGCTTTGGCACGTGGTGTCAACGAAGATAATCGTTTGGAGGATCGTGATATTCATATTGTTCAAGATCCTCTACAGGAACTGATATCACGTGTTGGTGAGTGTGATCAAGCTGATATGTTACGGATGGTTTCGGATGATGAGGAGCAGCATAATGCCGTGGGTTTCGTCATTGCTCCTTGTTTGATTGACATCGACTTCGATTTTGAGAAGTTGAAGGCCGATCAGAGGATCTGTCCGGCATGTGAGTCTTTTAAGAGCCAAACAGGTTTTACTATGGTTGATGGTATTCTTTATCGGGAGCAGCGGTTTGATGAAGTTGGCCGTATTCAACGTCAGTTAGTCATACCATCGACTTGGATAAATTGGGTGGTTTCTGAGAGTCATAAAAGGACTCATGCCTCTGGTAGGCAGTTGAAGTCTTGGTTGCAACGTTGGTGTTGGTTTTCCAAGATGGGAACAAAGTGTCGTTGGGCTAAGAGTGTATGTCCTACTTGCCAGCGTGTTGATAGTGATGGACGTATAGAGGTTCCTTATTCTACCCGCTTACCCGATGCTAAGGCATTGAAGCCGTGGTACCGTGTTGGTGTTGATGGTGTTGTCGTGAAACGTGGTTGTCTATTTTTAACTGTGACTGATGCTTTCAGTGGCTATATGGACTTCACGATAATTGACTCGACTGATGCCGCTACCTTTATAAGAGGTTTATCGATTATCTTTGTGAGGAATGGCTTTCCACGAGAGGTTCAGAGTGATGGAGAATTTGGTTCTAAAGAGGTTCAAGATTGGGCGAAAGCAGCAGGTATACGTTGGATTCTTGGACCAGCTAATCATGGTCAGACTGGTGGTTTCTATGAAAGGAGGCATCGTTGTCTGTTGGAGTGTTTGCGACGTTGGCTAGCAGATTTACCTTCGGTTGAGTGGGCTGATGAGCTTCTTCTGCAGAATGTTAAATGGATGATCAACCACACGGAACTTGGTGAGTCACAACTTACTCCTATGATGATTATGTGGGGAAGAATTTGTGAACTTCCCTGTATGCGATCTGGATCTATTGCTGATGATTCGTCATCTGTATCTGATCCCGAGTTGTATGACCTTATAATAGCAGCTGGCCGTATTAGTCGAGAGCATGAGGTTTTTACTGCTAAGTTCGTGGAACATTGGCTGGATCAACGGGAGAAAAATCATCCGGTATTGCGATATGATAGTGGTCTACGAGTTGGCATGTGGGTGATGGTCTATACCCAAAGAAGTTATAAGCTTAGCCCATGTTGGCGTGGTCCTTATCGTATTTCTGCTATCAAGAGTCGTCATGTTCTGCTTACTACTGAACGTGGAACTGAGTTTCATCATATCGGTAATTGTAAAAGGTTTCGATCGGCAGATAACCATGTTTCTGAGGAGGACTCTAAGAATGACCTCAAGGATGATTCTGCTGAGGGCTCTCAAAGCCATAAGGTTCCGAATGATACTTTGGTTCAACTTCCTCAAGGTAGACCAAAACGTCAGGCTGCTATGCTAAGTCAGGCTACTACTAGTAATATGTTGAGAGATGAGAGACGTGCGGTAGTAACTAAGCGTCGTCGAGTCGCCTAGTTCGTTTTATGGGGGGGATTGTAGAGATTGTCCCTGCTTTATAATTATCTGTCTCCGAATTTTGTGTTAGCTGTGTCATTTTAGCGTGACGCTAGATCACGTACCTATAAGGTTTTAGCTATGTAAGTTGTATTCATAAAACCTACTACTTCTATCCACTACAAGTATACTTGGGTTCGGTTTAATTCACTACAAAGGCCGTCGATAGCGTGTCCGGCCTGGCAGCGAGGATAGCCACTCGGGCCCCTCGCTCGGCCTCCCACGCCGCGGCGATGATGATGGCCGGCGTCACCCCGGCTAGCATCCAATTGAGAATGCTGGCAAGAAGATGCCGCGCCACCACAGGTACTCCTAGCGACCTAGCAGCGGCCCTTGGGCCTGGAGCGGCGGAATCGTCATGGCGAGTGGACCGGCGAGAGACCCATCCTCTCCCACCGTGGCTCCCCTCCCTCCCCGCCTCCATCCGTCCCAGAGAAGAAGCGGTCGAACTGGCATCGGCCTACCGAGGCCCCGCCATCTACACGGATGGCTCCAAGTTCGGCGATAGTGCCGGCGGGGCCTTCCTGGCTGTCAAAGAAGGAGAAGTGGTGGAGCGCCAAGCTTTTAAGCTTGAGCGGTTCGCCACCATTCACCAATGCGAATTGGAAGCCATCCGCAGAGCCCTGCGATGGCTGAGCTATTCGGCTCACAGAGGTATAGAATGGCTTCTCTTCACAGACTCTCAGGCCTCCATCCGCACGATCCGAGGCCGAGAAGCCACCGAGAGATCGGCCATCGCTCGTGACATCGCCCATCTCAGCCTACACGTCAAGGTGCAGCTGAACTGGTGCCCGGGCCATGAAGGAGTACAGTGGAACGAAGCAGTGGACCAGCTGGCCAACACCGGCCGAAAGCAGCTCTTCCCCCTGGACCGGGGTGCTGCTCTGATGGTTCCTCCTTCCTTTGTGAAGCACCAGCTCAAGACCCAGATGGAGAAGGACACAAGGTCCTGGTGGCTTGAGAAGCGAGCCACTCTGGGCACCAGCGTACGGGACTTCCTTTGGGGATTTTCCCACGCCAGAAGATTCTTGAAGGCCGGTAAGTCATCACCCGAGCTCTCTGCCTTAATTTTAGGACACGCCCCCACACCCCACCATCGCCACACGATGGGGCTAAGGACAGACCCGAGCTGCCCATGCGGGCATGCAGATGGAGACGTCAAGCACATCCTCAGAGACTGTCCTCTGCTGGATGGCGCGAGACGAGACTCCAGGCTGCTCCAGGTGATGCCCAAGTACGACTACAAATTAGTCCTCGATCGACGGTATCGAGCGCCACTTCTGAAGATGGCAAAGATGACCTTCGAGTGGCTGAAGAATCTCCGAGAAGCGGAGAACTCCTCTCAGCCATAAGAGGACCCCTTAGTGCGGACTTGCATCAGCGCCTCGCTGGTGCCGGCCTAGCGGCTCAGCTACTACCATAACCACTACAACTACTACTCCCAGCGACCAAGGCCTACGACGCGCGGCGATAGTCGGAGGCAGCGCGACGCTGTGGCACCTCAGGAAAGGGGCAGCAGCAGTGTAATCTGTGGAAGGCTGTTTCGCGTGTGTGGATAGTTAGGCTCCTCCGTCGCTTGAAGCTCTGCGGTGACTCTCTTTCTGGGCCTCTGACTTGATGCTGACTCCCTTAAGGCCGGACCGTGCCGGTGGCGTGGCAAGCTCCACACCGGATCGCCTTGGCATACCCTCCGGGATGTCTCTCTGAGCCAGGCGATGGGGGCAGGTGGTTGGTTGGACACCCCCCGCGGATCCGAAACGTCATGAGAACGCGATCTCCAATGTCGCGGATGGCACACCCCTGATGTCTTGCCCACACAGGAGGTCGATCGCCAAGTGCCTTGAGTGCACGGCTCGGGTTGCGACCAATGCACCCATGTCCCAAGAGCCACCAAACAATGAAAAGAGAGCTTAGCTCCACCCCTCGCCATCTTTAGAGTTGGGAGGGGCCCCAGGGACTGAGCACCCCGATGCATGCCGGCCCAGATCTCTCAAATGGATCGGGCCCTCCTCGCGCACCCTCCGGGATGTCGACTGGCGCAGGAGTGGTGGGAATCCAATACTAGGATCCCCCGGCACCTGGGTTGTCTCCTCATGACGTCAACTAGTGGTGACCATACCACAGTGCCGCCCCATCAATGGAGTCTAGCTGAGAGTCAAGCCTGGAAAGGAGTACCCAAGGAGTGGATGGCCCGGAGGACCGAAGCTTGAAGCCAGGGCGGCAGCACAGAAGCCGGGACCACCAATGCTTACCCCTTACCTCGAGTTGGCTCGGTGAGCCGTAAAACGCCCAGCGGTCCGCCTGCCGAAGACCGACCCAAGCGAGTAGAGCGGCGGCCAGCTGATGAAGTCGGACCGCTCAGCACTTGCCCGGCTCGCAGAATAAGACAGATTAAGACGATTTGTTGTTTTGCATGGCTGGGTGTATCATGTTATTGTGATAATTGACTGTTTCCAAAAAAAAGGCATATTGAGTAAGAGTTTCACTCAGCCAAAAAATCAACTTTGGAGTCTCGAATCAGCTCGGAGAATCATATATCATCGCGATGATCCCGATTTCTCGCTCCAGAGTAGAAGAATCAGTGAATCAGGGGTTATACTCACCATCTGATTTCTTCATCTGAGTAAATACTCTGGCTCACCTGTTGCATCAGGATCCGCTCACAGCCCCTGTTCTCACTCCTAGGCAGACCACCAAGTTGCTCGTCTTGCCAATCCTTGTTGTCAGCGGAGGTATGGGAATATGATGGTAGTATAGGGGTCTCCGCTGAAGTTCTTATCAACTTCGTAAGTGACCAGGTGCAATGGAAACCTTAGCAGCTTATCACTGACGGTGAAGTCACCCCTCAGTTAATCAAGGCATGCACCGGAGTGCAACGTCCGTTGGACTTGATGACTACGCTGAAGTGGATACGAGGCGCTGGGCCCATGCCAGAATGCCGCAGACGACATCCTACTACAGAATAACTGTAGTAGCCGTACTGGGCCCACATACCTTCGCACTGGATAACCGAACACATAATGCAACTCTGTTCGTGGGCCTAGTCGCTACTGCTGGGCGTTTTTCCCTGATTGATCTTGGGATCCCTGGACACTAATTCACCTACATGTAGGAGCATCCAGATTTGGGAATGCTGCACAGTTCCTTGGCAAGAGCTTTTGAATGACAGAGTCTAGCCTTCTGTTCTACGGGTGGGATCCACTATCAGTTGTTGTTAGTTTTTCATCCTCTTCTATAGTCACCATGTCTGCTTGTGTGGAGCTGTCCCCCTGCACATACATCTTCTTGGGGTTGTGCTATGGTGTTGTATTAGTAGCTATAATTTGTTCTCTAATATCAGTGTACATAATGCAGACACAACCTGTTTGGGTGATCGTCCTCATCTCTGTTGGTGTTGCATGGCTTGCCTTTGGAGTTGCCTTTAAGTTTGTGTTCTCTGTGAAAGACTCGCGAGGCCAGCGGTTGGGCACTGCGGTCGCTGAGAAGGATAGTCCAACTGTCTGTGAACAGAGTTCAAGTCTGAGGCGACCTGGATGAGCCGCGCAGTTTTGACTGTGGAAATGTATCATCACTATAACGATTCGTTGTTAACGACAATAGCAACATTGCTCGTCTCTTAACGTCTTCTAAGTAACAGCACTGTGTTCAGGGCGTAACTTCGGGAAATAATAGTTTTTTATAAGGCTAGGTTTATATTACACCCATAGGTATAGCATAACAGCATGGATGGGCCCCTCGGGGGTCCGTCACCGATATGATCGGAGACTCTGGCTAGCTTGAAAGTATCTTTGCTAGCGTCAGGACCTCGGACCTCGCAACTGTAGTTTCGATCGGGGGTACTGTGTTGAAGTATAGGAAAGTAATGTTTTTGTATTGCAGTAGCGAAGGTGTACTGTTGTCAGGTTTGTTTCATACGTACTATCTTTTATTGTCACTCCCTCTATGGAACGGCTCCACATCTCTTTCGCTAAGGCCATCACTCTCCTGGTCTTGTGGCTCATCACCATTCTCACTCTCGTTGCAGTGGCATTAATATGTGCCTTCGCCTTCAATCTTAGCGGCATTGTTGTTGGCAGCATCATCGTCGTTTGCAGCCTCATCGCAGTGGTCGGTCTGGTTGCTCGTAGGTGGATAGTTGTCGAACGCGATATCACGATCTCTGAGTACTACGGCAAGGAAGACGACCCTGTTAGGTCTTCTTCTACTGTCGCTGATGAGGCTATTGCTACTGCAGTGTAGATAGATGAAAGCACGATTGTGGGTTTTGCGCGACTATATGAAAACTGGCAAAGTTTCTGATTGTTGCAACTTTGCTGTTGTCTTTGCGTGCTGCTAGCAACAGTGTTTCGCTTTCGCGGAATCTGTCTCGACTACTATCGTTACTCTCTCACGGTTTTTCATCTCGTTACCTGTATCATGTTTTTGAGCACATCGTCCCCGTACATGGCTCGTCAATTACGTAATTACGAGGTCTATCCTGTTGTTGTTGCACCGTCACGGTGATGTGCACCCTACCGAGATATCTTGCCGTGTTTTTTTACTCGCTAAACTTTGTAGTCGTCGTGAACTCACTCTCATGCTAGCCGTCATAGTCCAGGTGGGACTCTTATTATCCGTGTTTTCGCTGTACCAGTACTCGTCTATTGTCAATACATCATGTTATCCTATTAGGAGACTCTCCTTGAAAGAGGGTCGTTATTGTGGAGGACAATCACATTTATTGCTCAAGTCTGCTGTACTTCGTAGCATACCCTATAACTATCGTCGTCATCACGAACTCTAGCCCTTTTCCGACGAAAAATTCATCGATTTTTGTGTTGACAGTTGACTGGGGTTGTTCTTGTTGTTATATACCGCAGTAGATATAATACAGTGAGATGTTGTGCAGTGGCTACACTGTCGCGTCGGCCACTGAGACCAACAGTTCTACTATTGAACCAGCGGAAAACGGGAAGATGCTGTATTTATCGCAAGCATTGAGTGTTCGGCGAATCGTCTTCGTCCTCTTCTCATGGAGGAGATGAGGATGAAAATAAGGGTGAGAGGAAAGATTGCGGACAGCATAAGTGTGACAAGCGATCCTCTGATGTGCGTTACATATGGTTCCCCTTCTTGGATCGACTCAATGATCTTTGGCCGACGCCTTCAGGCACCCATCGTCAACGAAAGAGCGTATTGATGACGAGCTCTAGGCTTGTTGGCGTGATCGCGACAGGAGCCCCTCTCGATTTCAAGAGCGACTTATACCATTACAAATAAAAAGTCTTTCCTTAATAGGCTATTGAAGGAGTCACCGTTGAAAGAACCGACTTATTCATCCTTCGAGGAAACTATTTATAACAGTCAATTGCGCTCTATTTTCACAAAGAAATAACAGCCATTTCAACGTCCTGTTTTGGTTGTTATTGTTCTTGTTTCGATATGCTTGATAACAGGGTAATGAACGAGCATGCAGCGCTTCAATTGCTAAACTCACTTACAAGTCCCTCCATCCCTCCCAGTTTACTAACACAAATCCTTATCCTTAACTATGTTGTGGAGGAACATAAAGTTAGGAGCCGAAATACGGCACTAGATAGTAGGTTAATAACCTCGGGACTATCTAGAGTCCCATTGAAGAAAATACATTCTATACATTAACTAGATATTCACGATACAACAAACCTATGAATACATCATTTAATGAGCAGTCTTAGCCTGAGTGGTGGCAATGAAGTTGCTGACCACACGAATGGAGTACTCGTTGTACTTGGCGAGTTGCCTCTTAGTAGAGGTAATCTGATCACCCTCCAACCTGTTAACCAAGGTCACACATACGCAAGCAGCGGGGATCTTGGCACGCTGGCAGAAACCCATAAGAGCGACACTCTCCATCTCGATGTTGCGGACACCAGCATCATGTAGACGATGAAGGAAGTTAATCTTATCCTCCTCAGTATACCAGGGAGTGAGAGCACCATCAGTACGGCCCTGACCCTCGAAGAAATCATCAGCAGCCATGGTCTTACCCTTCACAACAGGAATATCCTCAGGGGCACTGGCGATGATATCATCGACGAATTGCATATCAAGAACATCAGTGGGGATCTCGAAGACCTTACCGAGCTGCACAGTTCTCCAGCAGGGCTTGATCTCATCATTGATGGCCTGAGTGGTGCATACCACGGTTCCGGGAGCAACACCACAGCCACCAGAGGTACCAAGACGGATCCACCTGACGGTATCGATGATACCAACATGATTACACAACTTGGCAACTTCGTTCATAAGGATATGAAGGGAGGGACCACCCATACCGTGAGACACGGAGATCACAGACCCACACTTGAACATGCTGTAACGCTCAGTCTTACCAAGACGCATAACAGTAGGCTTAGGGAGACCCTGCTCCACAAAGGCGTTGGCCATGACCTCAGCGAAGGTCTCAGCACGGGCAGGAGAGCCCATCATAACGAAGTACTTGACATCACCGAAAAGGGCCTGAAGGTCCATGTCGGTATCGAGACCAAGATGATAGTAATGGTCACAAGACAAGGCTTGGGCATAGGGAGAGATGTTGTGCCTGGAAGCGGGGGTAGAAGTGGTCGACATTATGATTATTATAAATACTCGAAGATGAGTTTGATACTCTTATTGACATGGCGGTGGACGACGTTAGCTACAAAGCTCAGCCTTGTCCCTCTTGTGAAACAGCGCAACATGCCTGGTTCGACCTTGGATCGATGCCAGTTCCATTTATTCGACCGGGGAAGTACCGCCTGAGCGTTTTTGCTTAGTATTGGTGAGACTTTGAACACAAGGATAAGAAAGTTACGTTAGAAAGAAGTTCTGAGAGAAAAATTAGGAATTCTCGAGACCAGCCAAGAGCTCAAGTCCCCTTCTTGTAAATGACAAGTCATCGGTTGGATGTCTACTACGTTGATGTTGATGCATGGACGGCTACCGTGAGCGACCCCGAGGTCTTGGACCTGCGAAGGAAACTGCTACCGGACACTGAAGTGGAAAACGGCAAGGTGGGGCGCCCTTTAAGGCTGAGAGACGCGCCGGGTGAGTCGCAGCTAGGGTCACTTAGGTGGACCAATACGTCCAGGAGAAGGACCAGCGGATGTGTTTGGTCAGCCGCCTCCTCCCGCGCTACTTTGTGAATAAGGCTACTGCTATTCCATTTAGAGAGGTCAATATCGTTAACCGGGAAAGACAGCGGTTGGGGATGTATGACGGACGAGGGCTGATCTCACAAGCCTAGTGCTGTCTTTGGGCGCAGGTTCAAACCCACGTACGGGCCTCCCTTTGGACCGGCTCCATCAGCCAAGACCTGGGAGGCATATCCTTCTTTCAGCATATCTCACGACAACGGGATGGTGACTATGGCAGTAGGCTTCCCAGTTTTCCCTTCCGCTCACCCTGTAGGCCCTTCAGGTCCACCCCCTGTACGCTGTAGGAGTGGATATTCAGTGCCTCAGCTTACCCCGAATATACGACTCCTCGAGACAGTTTGTCGATGAGATGCGAGGGGAGGTCCTTAATGGGGAGGAATACCACCGCATCACAGCTCATGTAGCGGATAAGGATGTCCTACGAGAGTAGTAGTCAGTCGCGGCTGGGCACAGATGCATACTGCTCCATCTTGGGGTCATTTTGCCCTTCTTGTTAGTCTTAGTTTTAGTATTCTCTCGCATTTAGTAGATTAAGTATATCGCTCGCCCATCGAGTAAAAACGTGTGAAACGGTGATACCTCATTAACATGTTCGAATACACGAGTATATAGATTCATTTTGACCAACAACGTCCGTGCATTTGTGTTATGTCTGCCATACGTGGGTAGAGCTTTCGATGTATAACATTATCGTCAGGTTCTATCGTATATGGACTGCGAAGGAAGCCTACCAGAAGTGCATAGGTCTAGGCCTCGCTCTCCCGATGACGGAGTTGGCAGTAGACCAGGACGGGATGATCTTCCGGTTAGAACAAGATGGCCAGGTGATCAGGCTGGGACTACCTCCATTCACGAACGACTCGATTTCAGTGGACTTCGCAGCGGAACCGGTTTCGTCTACGGACGTTTTCACTAGAACGACCTGATGGTGCGGAGTTCATAGGATGTGCCTGCATTGGAGAGCTGTCTACCTGTGACCGCTCGTTGACCTCATTTCGGCCTACCGAATGGCCCTCTCCATCGCTAGGGCCTGGGGCTATCGAAATCTCACTACGTCCATTGGGGGTCTCTGAGGATTTACTGAACGCTTCCTGTGTATGACTATAGTTATGTTTCGTCATGGCACGGTAGTGTTATTGAATTGAAGACCCAAGATGATGATAGCGGGGAATAGCAAGTTGAGTCTACTATACCATTCGGAATAGCATCGCCCTTAGCAGAATTAATGAGGATTCATTCTTTATGAGAGATTGCTCGGGTAGTGGATAAAAGCCAGGGGTCCTCATATACGGGAAGTGACGTGATGCACTCGTGGGGACCGAAATAAGTCGTTTTTGAAAATTCGCCAGTGAAAATTTTCAACCGTGAGACTTGGGAATTGAGGGAGTTGGGCAGTTCATGGTATCGATGGGTCGATTGGACAAAAGTGCATCATAATTTTTAGGATAGGTCATTTCCTTGTTGTTGACTTATGACCTCTCCAGCGTCTCAATGGGCCATACCCTGTAGTAGCGAGAGGCCCTTGCTGACCTCAGCGGATACGGTAGTGTAGGGGAGAGTCGGGCAGCTGGTGAGAGGGGGCGTATCTCGGATGGTTGTATATGGGGACGCTTCGGGACTCCCGTTTGTCCAAGATGTCGCTGAGGTGTGGTATGCCGATGACTTGTTGTTTCTGATTGAAGTAGTAGAGCGGGTTAGATGCGGCTGTGTTGATCGGTTCGTTGGAACATACTCCTCCGCCAGCTAGCACTCTATTGATGGATCAGCCTTCTGTGGTGGGTGAACATTCTGTGATGGTAGTTATGGGGAACGTCGAAGAATGTGTGAAATCGAATGTGGGGTATATTGTCGAAGCTGTTCATTGACCTGGCACGGTTAGCAAGACTGTATGGTTACAGTCACCGCTGTTGTGGCCGCTACTTGGGGGGGCCCTAACTTGGGAACCTTCAACGGTTATTGTTTTTAGCTGATGTCCCAACGTTTGTCCTTGTTGATAGCTGTCCATACAGAGCATGCAGTTTGTGCATGCGTGCTGCTGTCGTTATGACCGAGAAAGGCAGTAGGGAAGATATGTCCGATGATGGTGGGCGCGCGCGGATGTCACCACTTAGCATGGTCCCATCATGGGAAGGTCATATTGGTATGGTATGGCTTTTTCCAAGCGTACATGATATACCTCAGGGAATGCGAGATGATATTGATACCCTCACGGCTTTGGTCGTTTACTCGATTCTATGTGGTAGCAGCATAATGATGGTCTATAAAGCACGACTAAGATTTGAATTCCCCCTCATGATTGTGTCGAACGATGATTTGGACAACTTCCCTGGCATGACTAACAACTCTAACGAGTATATGGAGAACCCACCACGTGCGAATTGGCAAAGACATAGGATTTGGAGGTTGGAGGTTGTTTTCAGTTGTAGTTGATGAAGTAACTATAGACCACATCATATCATTATTTTCTAGTGTGTGTACTTCGGAATATGTTGAGCTTAAACGTGGGGGCGAGCCGAGTATGGCTGGTGTAGTTTTTTGCAATGCCTTTGATATCTTCCGATTTGAGCAAGCCCCTTCTTGAAGGCCACAACAGTGTGGAGAAGCTGTCCTCTGTTGTAACGTCTAAGGACCAGCAATTTTTCAGGCTACCTAGCCACCCTAGATACCACAACCCGTTCGAAACACTAACGCCTATTGGAAAGTAGTAGATTCGGGCGATCGAAAAAATCTGGATGTTTTCTGGTGTTATATAGAATTTTTTCGATCAACTGATATGAAAAATGCGAGAATGTCATCCATTGGAAATTTTCCTGATGTTTTTGGAGGAATAAGTTGTGTTAGACTCCCATGATGAGTACGTGAAAAAAATTTTGGTCATAAATTCAGCATGGTTTCATTTTTCCCGGAAGTGAACTCAGAGTTGTTCGTTTAGTTTTGGACATTTTTCTAGGAGAAAATTCTGCGGCAGATACGAAAAATTGAAGATTTTCCTGTTTACCGTATCGGGTATAGCCCCACTGCGATTTATCATTATCCTGACGATTGGCGTGCTCGGTATGGTCCCTGCTAAGCTGGCTCTTGTGGGCATTCCAAAGCCCAGTGGTGTCCAAGACCTGCAGCCTCCGATAACAGCGTGGTGGCGGAAAGCACTGGTGAGTTATATGATATAAAATTCCGAATTGTATAGCAGTTGTTTACTTGAAAATTTCACAAGAGTCAATTTTTTGGAGGGATAAAAGTATTTGTACACAGTACACTAGGATTAAGTTCTGATACCAAGACAGTGTCGGAATAAATGTTCGCTTCCCTCAGTTCGCTGAGCTCAGAAGTTTGCTCGGCAATAGTAGGAGTTTACATACGAATCCGTACAGGAATCGATGAGGAATTCTGAATATTCCGTCAGAAATTTCATATTATCACCAGCACATGTGGTTGACCATGTGAATATGCTCCCTCACGGTAGTACAGCGGCTGTACCAAAATGAGCGTTTTAAGACTCAGTCGGCTGAACGAGTCGGCCCAAGGCAATCTTTATTTTCTAGGGGCCAATCTGGACCATTCTGTTGCAGGTCAATTTCATGTTACTCTGGGTGAGAATAATACTCTTCGTGGCTGGTTTCTATTGGATCAACGTGGAAGGCCGGCCAGATCCACATACACGGGTATTTGTTTCAACTCACCATTCGATCTGGGATACCCTTTATCTGATGTAATACACCAAGCGGAGTTGCCTTTCTCATTTTGCCAAGGTACTACACTGGCGCATGTGAGGCGGTTAAAGCTGAGGCATTCGACATGCCTTTGATCGGAACGTATTTGAGAGTATTAAGTGCTCTACCTATTGACCGTCGATGTAGTAGTAGCAGTAGTAGTAGTAGTAGTACTAGTAGTAGTAGTAGTAGTAGTAGCAGTAGTAGTAGTAGTAGTAGTAGTAGTAGTAGTAGTAGTAGTAGTAGTAGTAGTAGTAGTAGTAGTAGTAGTAGTAGTAGTAGTAGCAGTAGTAGTAGTAGTAGTAGTAGTAGTAGTAGTAGTAGTAGTAGTAGTAGTAGTAGTAGTAGTAGTAGTAGTAGTAGTAGTAGTAGTAGTAGTAGTAGTAGTAGTAGTAGTAGTAGTAGTAGTAGTAGTAGTAGTAGTAGTAGTAGTAGTAGTAGTAGTAGTAGTAGTAGTAGTAGTAGTAGTAGTAGTAGTAGTAGCAGTAGTAGTAGTAGTAGTAGTAGTAGTAGTAGTAGTAGTAGTAGTAGTAGTAGTAGTAGTAGTACTAGTAGTAGTAGTAGTAGTAGTAGCAGTAGTAGTAGTAGTAGTAGTAGTAGTAGTAGTAGTAGTAGTAGTAGTAGTTTGTTTGTTGAGGGCAGCCTTGCCGATCAGAGGCTGAGCTCCGATGTCCGGCCTTAGCGCTGCACGGGCAGTATGCCCGTATTGGACAGGTCATCCAGAACCCATGCGAGCGGATGAGCCTCCCTCTGGTCTACTGAGTCTGCCCCAGCGGGTTTTCCCCCCAGGCCGTGTAGCTGGTCCCTCTCTAGTTCGCAGCCGGACGACCGAGTTCTCGGCATCCGTCTGGCCAAATCTTGCGTAGGAGCCATAAGAGGAGTCGAGTTTTTCGAGCGTCCTCGAGAAAGACTGATATGCGCTGTGGAAAAGCTCCCCCTATTTTCAGCCTCATCCATTCTCTGTGTGGCTTAAAGCACCTGCAGTGGAAGACGAGGTGGCTTATCGTCTCTTCATCCACGTTGCAGTGTCGGCATTTGAGACCGATCTTCTGGATAAGAGCCGGCTTAGTGTGCTTTAGGTGAGACTTCACGTCGCCGTGCCCACTGATGACAGTGAGGAGTCGTCGTCGATCTCCTCCGTTCGCCACCTTTGAGAGCGTCTCCCTCTGTTGCTTCCCGAGATTGGCTCTCGACTCGTGATAGCCCTTGAGGTGCCCCTTCTGACGCTGCCATTCAATTAGAGCAGAAGCTTCGAACCGGGTCTTCAGCCTCTCCATGGCCGCCGTTTGGGGGATAGGACAAGGGTGGTGATTCCCCATTGTGGCCCCCAAGCGGGCCGTTGTGTCCGCGAGAGCGTTTGGGACATTGCCTCTATGGGCACGTACCCACCTCATCACTAATCGTCGATTACGTCTTCTGAGCCGCTCGTGCAGAGCCAGCGCCAGTGCTCTACTGCGCGCGACTGTGGTCGGCTGTATGGCCGTTGCTCTGCTAATGTTGCTTAGAGCGGAGAGACAGTCTGATAGTATCTCGACGTCTCCCTCATCCTCGAGACCTTCCGAGAGCGACAGTCGAGACATTTCCAATTCACACGCCCTTCCTATGGCACATACTTCTGATTGGTATACCGTGGTTTCGCGCGGCAATGCCCTGGCCTCATAGGTCTCTGGCTTACCTCCAGGATCGTATCGCACCACTCCAAATCCCGTGCGGGTAGCAAGGTGGAAGAGGCCTGTTCCTCTCACAGTCAGCTTGCTCCCGTCTGTATACCACTGGTGGGTTCCCACGCCTGATTGCACAATGCCACTGGTGTCCAATTCGATGTCCATAGCTGCGGGTGAGCTCTCTGAGCTCTCAAAGTGATCAGGGGTGAAGCTATCTCCTAGCCATCTCTTGAGTGCCTTTTTCTCTAGGCGCCGCGGGACGAATTTCTGCTTGTAGCAGTAGTCTTTGATCATCAGCCGGGCGATTGCTTCTGCTATCCCTCTCCAATTGGCGAGTCTACTAACTATGGCCGTAGGAGCGCTGGGTGTGGCCCGCCACACACTCCTTAGCAATGTGGCCATTACTCCCCGGGATGCTCTGCTGAACCATTTGGCAGTGCTGGCTGTTCCCCAGACGGAGGCAGCATATGTGGCTCGTGGTAGTAGATAGCCATGCCATAAGCTTTGTGCCGTTCCGGGGTTGAGGCCGGAATTCCATCGACAGAAGCTCCGGATCTGCCTTGCCCACCCTCTAGCACTCTCTATGACTGAGTGTGCATGTTTATCCCACTGTATACCAGTCGGCGTAGGTCTCATCCAAACGCCGAGCCATTTGGCTTCTGGCTTCCCCTTTGCAGCCAGATGCCCGTAGGTTGCTGCAAATTCTTCGCACTGGGGCCTCTTCGCAAAAAGCAAAAGCTCCTCTTTCTCCTCAGCGAGCGGTATCCTACGAGTCTCCGCCCAGGTGGATGCGGTGATCCTGCAATCTGACAATGCTTGTCCCAACGTTTGTATGTCCTCAGCCTTAACGGCTATGGCAAAATCATCAGCATAGCCGATTATCTTAATCGACCATCGCTCTTCGTCCTCCGTGAGCTCCCGTCGCCTCTCTAACTTCGTGTAGAGTAGGAGTGACGCCAGCAGAAACAACAACGGGCTCAAGCAGCCCCCTTGAGGGGTGCCTTTCTGCAAATACCTTGTACTAGTGCTACCGTCGTCTGCCGCCACTGTCACTCTTCTTCCTTGGAGGTAAGACACGATCAGATCGACCCAATCCGGGCCGAGATACTCTTTGACCCCATCCAGGATGGCCTCCCACGGGATATTGTCAAAGGCTCCAGTGAAGTCTTCTAACAAAACTCCTGCGACCTCTCCCCCACGACCCACCGTGTGTAGGAAGTCGTCGACCTCCTTTAGGGCTGTTGTTGTTGAGAAGCCCTTTCGGAAGCCCTGCGCGCACCGCGGGAGGGCTTGGATCTTGCACTCGAGTTGTTGTAGGATCGCCTTTTCGGCTATCTTGCTGAGGGTTCTCAGCAGTGATATGGGTCTGATTGCCTTCATCCTGGTGTTGACATCAGCCCCGGCCGCAACCCTTTTATTGGGCTTGCCTATCAACACGACTTTGGTGGGCTTTAGCGCCTCTGGGAAGGTTTTGAAGTTTATGATGGCCTCTAGAACTAGCCGTAGTTCTTCCAGGAGTTCCGGGTGTTGGGCGGCCTCTCTCCAGTGTTCATATGAAGTGAAGTCATCCCCTGGGCTTTTGCCCGACGGAAGGCCCCGGATTATGTCTTCAACCTGGCCTGCTGTTAGCGAGACGTTTCCGCTGCGCGAGGGGGTCTGAGCTCCCAGCGGGGGTGGCTGTGGTGGTCGGCTCTCTTCTAGAGTCCGCGCTGTCCCGAAGAAGTAGTCCGCTGCCGAGTCCGCATCTATGGCCTGTGTGTGACCGCTGCTCTGTCTACCCATCATGATGCGGGTTACGCCCGATGGGTCTAGGGTCTCCACGGTGTGCTGCCAATATCGCTTCTTCGCATTGAATATGGCTTTGACATATTCCTTGTGGGCCCGGCATTCGGTGAGTCTCCGTCCGCTATCCCCGGGGTCTCGATTCGCGTGCCCTCTTGCCCTTTGGTAGTTCTTACGGGCGCGGTCGATATTCAGCGGCCCTGATACCTTCCCATGGCCCCACCAATCCTTGGTCTGGCGTCTGGATCCGTCGACGCGACTCACTCGGGTAGAGTATTTGACTGCGTTGCGGAGCGTGTTGATCAATCTGGACGTTCTCGATTGTAGGTCTTGTGGAGATAGTACGGGCCCCTTGCTCCGTAGCTGTCGTATGAGCTCATGGAACTTCTTCCAGTTGGTGTCTTTCGCCCTGCGTCTTGTGTTCTGTTGTGGGGATGTGTGGGTGGGTGCAACAGTCCACATTAGGCATTCATGATCAGTGGGGATAGTCTCGGAGAAGTCTGGTACTGTTGCCGCGGAGCACCTACTTACTAGGCCTTGGGAGACGAAGACTGCGTCGATGTATGTCCGGCCTATGCTTCCGCGAAAGGTCGGACGGCCTCGGTTGCCATTGATACACGCTAGATCATTCGCAACAGTCCATTCAAGGACTTGCTCTGTCCTAGTGCTTGTGGGATTCGTGGGGCTGCCCCACGTGGAGTGAGAGCAGTTGAGGTCCCCTGCCACAATGCTAGGATGAACCAGTTCGACGTCTCGGAGCGTCTCGGTTGGTCCAATGTTGCTGCTGAGATATATGGAGGCTAGCCTGACCCATTGATGGTGCCCCGGTAGCTTGGTGTCAAGAGCTAGTGTGTCTCTCGACTCGCTAGCTAGCTTATGGGGCATAGAGGTGCGCAGTAGTATGCATACCCTCGGGCGTCGGTCTTCATCTGCAGAGCCTTCCGGAGTGAATTGAGGCAGGATGCTTTTGAATCCCTCAACCGTTGCAGGGAGCCTCCTTGGGGGCTCTTGAATCAACACTGCTGCAACACCCAGGTCGGCGCACTGATGTGCCAGAACGGCGAAAGCCGCGGGGGATCTCATAGTATTGCTTGTGACTACTGTAGCTGCTAGTTCTATTGGTACGTCTCTACTCTCTGGAATGGTATTGGAATGGTTCAATGAATTGTACATAGGTGGCAGGTCTACCCCTGCCTGGGTTTGCTCACGAGGACTCTCGATCATTGAGCCCGGACCCCCTGCCGTCGGAGCTGATCACAGCGTGAGAACTCTATTGCTCCGTGCCCATGAGCTCCACAGTAGCAGCATTGGCGACTAGTGTCGTCCTTTGACTTCGAGCATTCCTTCATCTGGTGGTCTGATGATCCACACCATACGCATCGGGGGGGATGCTCGTTGCATGAGTCTGTAGGTGGGTGACGGTGGCCGCAGGTGTAGCAAACGCGCACGAAGTTGTGGCGATACACCTTTATCCTCCCGAGACCCAGAAATAGCTGCGCCTCTTTCTTGCCCCCTAGCAGCTTGTTCACGTCCTCTTCGTCTCCGCGTACGATCACATGTCTGGTCTGAGAGGTGGTGTTCACTCTCGTCAGCTTGAGCACTTGCCAGTTGTCGCCCATCCCGTTGCTCTCCTTGAGTTCAGTAAGAATCTGGCTCTCGGAGTAGTGTGATGGAACATCTCGGAGCCTCAGGTCAGTCTGTTTGCTTGGTAGTGGAGCCGCTGTTATCGTTTTCGATGCCTCCGCTGCCCTGAGTATCTGCTGTTGGGTCCAAAGATCGTCGACCTCGATAGCGACACCAGTGCGTATTTTCCACGTGCCCTTTATCTTCCATCGTGGCCCAGTGCCCTTTGTAGCCTCTTTCTCGAAGGCCTTCTGGATAAAGTTGAAGGTCTCGTCGCTGGGTGTCGGCCAGCGGCTCGGTGGCTGGCCCCCGATGAGGTCAGTCTTATTGATGACCATGCACAGCTTCTCCACCTTCGCAGTCGGTGCGGCCTGGCGAGGTTGTGCCTTGGCCTTGGCTTTTGCAGCCCCTTGTTGTTTCCTGCCTTGGACCACCCGCCAAGCCCCAGCTGCGGCAGTGGCTTTACCAGCGCCTATTGCTGGGGATCTCCTCCTTGTGATAGAGCTTTGTGGAGGTGGTGGGGGTCTCCTCGGGCCCGTTTCAACTGCTCGTCCCTCGAGGGTGCGGGTGCGTCTAGTAGGCACTGGAAGTGTCACTGGTCTGGCTGGCTGGGTGTTGCCAGGGTAAGTCGGTTCTAGCGTCAGATCGATTTCTGGTCTGAAGGACGCTGTAGGCGTATCAACCAGGTCTGCCCAGTGGGTCTTGCGACTCTCCAAGGACTCCAGTTGGGCCTTCAGGACCGCGCATTCTTCCAGGACAGATATGGTCCTGTCACGCTCGCGTGCGAGATCCTCGCACGCTTTGGAGTATATATTTGTAAGCATGGCCAGGCCACGATTTATCCACATCAAATCACCCTTATATATGCGTTTTTCCTCCATCGCCGAGATGACCGCTACAACCTTTTGGAAGCTGCCATCCCTCTCCGCATCTATGTTCTTGATCTCCTCCAGTTTCTTGGCCTCTCGATCACCGTCGACTTGTGAGGCTGCCGATGGATCGTCCGTGGGGCGTAAGGGGGGCGCTTGATGCTGCTGGTCGCTCGATGCGATTGGAGTGTTGCCCGGAGAGGGCGTCATTGATTAAAAGTTAACTAAGACCTTGAGCCAGATGGCGTAGTAGTAGTAGTAGTAGTAGTAGTAGCAGTAGTAGTAGTAGTAGTACTAGTAGTAGTAGTAGTAGTAGCAGTAGTAGTAGTAGTAGTAGTAGTAGTAGTAGTAGTAGTAGTAGTAGTAGTAGTAGCAGTAGTAGTAGTAGTAGTAGTAGTAGTAGTAGTAGTAGTAGTAGTAGTAGTAGTAGTAGTAGTAGTAGTAGTAGTAGTAGTAGTAGTAGTAGTAGTAGTAGTAGTAGTAGTAGTAGTAGTAGTAGTAGTAGTAGTAGTAGTAGTAGTAGTAGTAGTAGTAGTAGTAGTAGTAGTAGTAGTAGTAGTAGTAGTAGTAGTAGTAGTAGTAGTAGTAGTAGTAGTAGTAGTAGTAGTAGTAGTAGTAGTAGTAGTAGTAGTAGTAGTAGTAGTAGTAGTAGTAGTAGTAGTAGTAGTAGTAGTAGTAGTAGTAGTAGTAGTAGTAGTAGTAGTAGTAGTAGTAGTAGTAGTAGTAGTAGCAGTAGTAGTAGTAGTAGTACTAGTAGTAGTAGTAGCAGTAGTAGTAGTAGTACTAGTAGTAGTAGTAGTAGTAGTAGTAGTAGTAGTAGTAGTAGTAGTAGTAGTAGTAGCTTGGCTGTAAGGCACGATGGTTGCATTTCAGCTGACTTGGGTCGGGAAAGTGCGAGAAGGCATATGCGGGAGCGGGCATTGGATACGAGGTACCCGCCTATTATAGTGTTCCCTACGGCTACATGTAGGCTTCCTTTCTGTGTTTCAATCGATTAGATGATGCACTGTGTAGGTAACAACATGAGGCAGCTGACAGAGTTCAAGACGGGTGCCTTTGACACTGGCCTACCGGTAGTCGGGGCGGTTCGGTCAGCGAAGTGTGTTGGTGATAATAAAATAGTTATTTTGGAGATCGTTGATTGTTTGACATACTTCTACCCTGAATTTTCCATGGTGTAGTATTGAGGAAGCTTCTGAGCTCAGCTGAGGAAAGCAAACATATATTTCAACACGGTTGTAGCCTCCGGAAACTTCGTTTATCAGCACTCTTCACTTAGTGATGGTATAAATTCCATGTTATAGGTTCAGCCCATTGGTCTGTCATATCCCTGCCGCTACAACGATCTCTATTTGGACGACAACGTATTAGGGCTGCTGTATAGGACCCTGTGTGAATTCGTAAACAACGAGACTATCACGTTCCTGCCCATGTATAGTCCTACTCCAGCTGAGAGGAAAGATCCGACGCTCTACGCGGAGGGGGTAGGCTTTCTGTGGGAATGTTGTCGGGTGTAATTTTCTGAGTGTTTTTAGGTTAGAAAGGTGATGTGTAGAGAGCTGGGGAGAGTAGCGGTGCCCTTCGTATTCGAAGATGAGATGCTGCGAAATGCATGTGGGAGAAATCAGATGCATCTGTGTCAATACCGACTCATGATGAAGGATATATTTCAAGAGTTTAATACGAGTGATAGAGTGCTTGAGTATTGGGTAAAAAAAGAAAAAAATTTTCGTGCGATTTTTCATGCCAGGTTTCACTACTACATTCGGTAGACGTTGATGGAGACGGTTTTGTGTCGGCCCGAGATGTGCGCGAAAAATTCCGTCTGGGTGCAGACGAGGCCAGATGCCTCGATCTACTTATTCAAATACTAAAGCAAGACGATCCCAACGGGGACACTCCGTGGTCTGTTCCTGCAGATGAAACGAAGGGATGGTATGACGCGTTGGTGAACTACTCAGAAAAGTCAGTGTGTATTTTTCAGGTACTCGAAAATATTCGGAGGAATTCCAGCCGTACCGCACCGGCCTGAAGATGTGTATGTTCCTAACGCCTTGGCCGTTCATGAGATCATACCGATGTTGCTCGTCCTCTACACTGCTCCTACTTCAGGGCTCCGGTGCGGCTAGTGACGACTTGCGTTATTTTTATTATCGTTGAAGTTAGGCATCGCCCTTCGTTGGAGCTCCTCTACTCCGTATTCAGTTTTCCGGTCCCTGCTACGGTACTTGACGAAAGGGAGTTGGCGGAAGCGGTAGGTCGTGAAATTTGACGAGTTTAGTATCCCATCATTTTCAGATCAGAGGAGTGTTAACGCGGTATATTCCGAATTTGTTCGATCCTCCAGTAAGGAGGCACGTCGCTGAGTCGACCAGCACAGTGGAATCCTCGGATGACGAGTATTTTGTGAGAAGTTCAAAAGTCGAGGAATAATTTCGTGGCGCAGTGACGAATTCTTCTCGTGCTGATGTGTGCTGATGTTTTTCGTTCCCCCTGTGGTGAACAGCGTTCCTTATCGCCGACCATCTACGAGTCGCGTTCTACCACAGGAGGCTTCCGGCTGACGGGTTTCCGTTGTTGTTGTTGCTTTCCACTTCATGTCGGCTCCGTCGGCGGCTACATCCCCCTTCACAAACGGTCTCGTATCGGAGAACAACAAGAGTGCCGTTGTTGGTGAACTTAATGTGAGACGATTATACACATAAACGGCCGATTATGCATGCTACTAGGAACCACTGTGTTTTTATCTTTACTCAGGATCCGTTTGAGTTCGACACGCGGCCGCGGTATACGAACGCGTTCCTGCCTTTGACGGAGTATACGACGTAGCGGTCGCTATCTTGATATTGCTTTTGTTGACTCACCGTCCTTGCGTGGCCAGATACGAGAAGTTCAAAGTGATTCTATTCACCGTCACACTCGTAGCTCCGCTGCGAATCCTCATTATTGTGAGTATATAAACGGTAGATTTTTCCTCAAGAGTTGTTTTAAGGTTTTCCTACTGTGTATTGGAGTTGGCCTTGCAGAAATCGCCGCCCTAGGCCTTCCTCCGATCGACGACGCCATGGAGCTACAGCCGCCCATCAACAGCAGGTGGAGACGCTTTATAGTAGGTGCATGGTGGCGGTGATTTCCTATCAGCATCATATTGTCAGGTCTTCCTAATGCGTATTGGTATGCGATGGATTATGTTTCTGGCGGGCTTCTATTGGGTTCACGTAGAAGGTTCCTACGACCAGCGGGCGAGGATCATCATCAGTACACATCATTCGATTTGGGATACCATTTACCTTATGTGAGAATCACCTGGTGGCGGCTGTGATGTGAATTTTGGTATCAGGGTGTATACTGGCTGTTGCGAAGCGGCCAAAGCAGATTTGTTCAGAGTACCGATGATGGGAAGCTTTTTGAGATCACTCAATGCAATGCCCATCGATCGTCGATGTAAGTGGATGAGCGTGCTGGAGAGGCAGCATGTTGTCAGGTCCAGAAGCCCGTAGCGCGGCTAAGAGGAATATGCGGGCTCGAGCGCTTGACCCGAAGTACCCGCCAATGATAGTTTTCCCGACTGCTACGTGTACGTTCATTCGAGTTTCTGTCACTTTTTTGCATCGCTCCGCTAGGTAATAACGGTCGTCAGCTGTCGGCGTTCAAGGAGGGAGCTTTTGATTGTGGCGTGCCGGTGAGCTCAAAAGTTCTCAAGTATGCGCTTCTGACCTGTGGTTCTTCTACTACAGATACAGCCTGTGGGCCTCGAGTACCCCGCGCGGCACTATGACGTTTTCGCCCTCAAGAATATGGCCTGGGTTTTCTATTGGACTTGTTGTCAGTTCGTCAACTTCCACACTGTGCGTTTTCTGCCAGTGATCACTCCTAGTGATTCTGAGATAGAGAAACCATCTCTGTACGCTCGCAACGTGAGCCTTTGAACTCCGGTGTCGTCATCAGTATATTCATCTTTGACTAGGTTCGTACGGTCATGTGTGACAGCTTGAGTCGGGACCCGGTGCCCTATGTTTTCGAGGACGAGCTGCTTAGGATCGTTTGCCGCGACAATTTCATGCGAGTGCATCAGCATCGAATCATGATGAAGCAAGTCTATGAGGAATTTGGGATAAGCATGCACTATGTTGACCACTGGGTGGGGCTCGTGATCGGCTCTGGACGTGAGTGTTGACTTTGTCGCTTAGGTCAAGTTGTTGCACAGCTTGGATGCTGATGGTGATGGTTTGCTTTCCATCGAAGATGTTCAGAAAACGTTGTCACTGAGCAGTGGCACTAGCGAGACGGAGGCACTCCAGCGTGTTTGGTCTGTTCTGAAGATCGACGAGAGTGCCGACCCCCAGTTCGAGGATATACCGCCGCCCTACAATGAACCATTCAGGAGAGGGACCTGGTGAGGAACTACGAATCCGTGCTTTTGCAATAGCGGTGTTGAAATACATGTTCGCTCTCCTCAGCCGAGTTCGGGAGTTTTCTCGCCATATTATGAGAATTTACGCTCGAGATCGGGTAGAAGGATACAGAAACCAGCAATAATTTCCCAGAAATATCCTCAGAAATATTATATTATCACCAACAGATGTAGTTGACCATATCGTGCAGTGACAGTTGTGGACTACATATTATGATCATATTGTGTCTCGACGGTCGTACAGGTATGATACCCTTTCGGGTGGGGTCCCTCCGGTGCCTTCTCGTCCCCTGGATGATATACCAAAGGAGCTGCTCGCTGTCCACGACATAGTACCGGCATTCGTAGTTATTTTCAGCCGGGAAGAAGACGCAGTTGAAAGGTAAGTATTCATAATGTGATGGGTAGGAACAGTTTGCTCCACTCAGACGTCGGAGCGGTCTACAGAGGCTATTCCGGGCGGCGTTCGGAATAGCTGCTGAGGACTTCACAACTGATGAGCTCAGGGGACAGGTAGGATTAGCTCGGTTGTGGTCATTGGACTTCTCGAGAATGCTCTTTGGTTGCTCAGCTGCGAGAGAAGCTTCAAGAGTACATACCAAACATTTTCACGCCTTCGCAGAGGCACAGTGTTGGAAGCGAGACCAGCGGCAGACGGAAGAATTGATTGTTGAAGACGCTCCATCTCTCAGGTGCGCACTAGTATACTGTAGATGACCCAATAAATTTTCACTGATCTTTGTGATACTTATCCTCAACTGCCATCTCGATAAAATTCGATTCGGTATCATACCATTTATGTGATTTGTGTATGAGTCAGTTGGCCTCATGGGGTAATGATTCAATCGAGACTCGTATGTTGGGCCTAGGGCGGAAAATGATGACATGAACAGCACATGTAGTCGACTTGAATAAGAGGTGCACGAGTACTAGTTGTGCATCTCTTATTCAAGTGAATTCAAGTGCTTGATACACTTTGTGTGTCGAGGGAAAATCCAAGGCAGCCCGCTGCGTGAGTCAGCTTTGTACGTGCGTGCAAGGCAAACCACGTCGCCCGTGTGCTCATCGAAACGAGTAGCCAACTCGCTTCTGGACACTAACTCGGAGTTGGTCTCCCTGCCTGATCGATTCGCGACTCGAGCTCTTTCCTCAATGCTAAGCAAGGTCGCGGACGAGGGCCTGGGATTTTAGTGAATTTTACTTGTAAATGACCTTTTTCGTTGCGCAGATTTGAGGTGGTGTTGCCAACACCGTGTTGGGTGACACGGTGAATTTTTCAGAAAAAGAGGTATATCGTGTACTAGTAGTATTTTAGGTTTAACCGCGTCACCAATCACCACCGACGGTTTCTTTTCGAAGTTGTTCTGAATTATGGCATACTTTATATAATTACCGGTGACTGATTCTTGCGAAAGGTCCAAGTCCCCAACGAGGAAATTTTTTGGACATCACTCCTGACCTGCCGGCGGCGATCAGGATGACTGACATTTCGATATATTTCGGGTATTCGATAGCTGCCAACTCGGTCAGCGTCGAGTATACCGGTATATTCGAAGGATTCATGATATCGCAGTGCTTATCGCGCTTCGCTGCGTCCTTCATCGATTCTCGAGCCGAGGCATCCATCGTTGAGAGTTTGGAATTTCGTTTCGAAGTACCAAAATCCAGAATTGGATTTGGATACTATGACTAGTACAATGGTTCATAGGAATTAATCACCTCAGCAAGTGAGGTGGGGATCCCCGCTCTGTTTGGATCCCTCGGGGATCCAAAAAAAGCGGGG